TGAATGAATAAATGTCCCAAGAGCCTCAAATACTTACCACACAAACTGTTTTCAGAGTATTCTGTGTTCATGTTGATAAAAAAAGAACAAAACAAACAAACAAAAAACCCCTAGTCAACAGGTCTTTGCATTCAATATAACATTTCCCCTTGTTTTCAACTCAACGTGGCTCCCCATTGCTTTCTTTTGGATTCCTCTCTTGTCAGATTAACTGTCTCATCTAGCCATGTGCCACCTATTCCTCCATAGATGATTTTGAGGTCTGGTCTGGGATGAGATGGAAGAGTAGATAGGAGTCCTAAGCATTTAGAGCAGAGAAGGCACCATGAAGTCTTCCTGAGATCCCACTGCTATGTTTTCAGGAGACAGAGAAATCAAGCTGAAATTGATTGGAAGCTTCCTTCCTCATAGCCCGCTGTGGTGGTTTGGTTGAGATTGTCCCCCATAGACTCAGATGTTTGAATACTTAGTTCCCAGTTGGTATTGCTGTTTGGGAGTGTCTAGGAGATGCAGCATAGTTGGAGGAAGTACGTCACTGGGAGTGGGCTTTGAGGTTTCCAAGCCTTGTGTTATTTCCAATTTGCTCTCTCTGCTTTGTTTTTATCACAGCAATAGAAAAGTGACAAATAGCCGGGCAGTGGTGGTGCATGCCTTTAATCCCAGCACTTGGGAGGCAGAGTCAGGCGGATCTTTGTGAGATCGAGGCCAGCCTGGTCTATATAGTGAGATCCAGGACAGGCACCAAAACTACATTGAGAAACCCAGTTTCAAAAAACAAAAAACAAAACAAAACAGCAACAACAAAACCCCAAAACAAACAAAGAAAAGAAAGAAAAGAAAAGTGACTAATTTTCTCCCACAGTGCTAGAAGGTGCTTTAGGTTGCTGTGGGTGAGCTGTCATTAACAGTCTTACCCAGCTAAGGACCCTTCAGTGTCTCCTCGGCTCTGAAGTATACGTTCTGATGGCAATGTGGGTTTATTTACTTATTATTATTATTGTTATTATTGTTACTGGAGCGGGGGAAAGGGGGCTAGCCAAAACGTGCCCACTGGTACAAAAGTGATAAGTCTGTGTTTACAGGGGTAACCAACCACTCAGTAACTTAATCTGAGGCCCTCTTTACAGGAGCGAATTCTCAGTTGCCCTACTCAAAAGAGCATGGCTTGGGATATTAAAAGCTCTAGTGGGAAAACCCCTAATACTATCGTACTGAATGGACACGCCGTGCCCATCAAAAGGCTTTCTAAGTAACCATGTTTATACCTATAGGTTATTGATGCTGCCAACTTTGATCAGAGAAGCTTCTTTATGCAGTGAGCACCAGTAGCTCCAGCATCTCATAATTGGCCATTGAGATGAGAATAAACGCCAGTTCACAGTCAGTCATCAACTGAACATCTTGTCACCTGTGCCCCATCTTCCAAGGCTCAGGAAACGTCATATCACAAGGGTGTCCTAGTTTGTTTTCTGTTGCTGTGATAAACACCATGACCAAAAGCAACTGAGGGAGGAAAGGGTTTATTTCACCTTACAGTCCATCAGGAAGGGAAGTCAGGGAAGGAACTCAAGGCAGGAACCTGGAGGCAGGAACTGGAACAGAGATCATGGAAGAATGCTGTTTACTGGCTTTCTCACTATGGCTCACTCAGCTGTTTTTTTTTTTTTAATAGCACAGGATCACCTACTCAGGGATGGCACCATCTATAATCATCTGGACCCTCCTACATCAGTCTTTAATCATGAAAATGTCCCACAGACTAGCCTACAAGCTGATCTGATGAAAGCATTTTCTCTATTGAGGTTGTCTTTTCCCAGATGACCCTGGCTGGTGTCAAGTTGACGAACAAATCAAATACTAACCAGCACAAAGGGGAATAAAGAATGTAAGAGTAGGAGGAAGGGGGAAGAGTGGTGTGGAATGTAGATGGGTAAGAATGAATGATGCGATCGCTGCACAAGATCTGTATAAGACTGGACCTGCCAACATCCTGTCATGGAAGGGGGAGGGGCTCATGAAGACCCACCACTCCCTGAGGATTTATATGCTGTTAATGGATGCTGAGGGAGGGAATGATGTATTCTTCAGTAGTATAGTCACTGGTAAGTTGCCCAACCTCTTGCAAATAACCCCTCACCCATTCTCTTATGAGCAACCCTAATGTAACTCACCATATCATCAAAAGAAAGAAGAAAGCAGCCCAAAACATTAGGAATATTAGTTGGGAAGAGGAAGGTGATCAATGGAAGTGGGCAGGGATCTAAGGGAGTGTAACTGGGAGTATAATCAAAATGCATCATATAAATGTGAAAATGTCGTAAAGGGGTCCATTATTTATAACTAATATCTACTAATAAAAATAAAATTCATTTGGAAACAAGAACAACCAAATTTTAAACAATAAAACAAAGCAACAACCACCTCCTTCCAGACTTCCTGAAGTCATCAGGTAAGGTGTGAAGTTTTTAAAGAAGTTAAGTAGTTTTGGAGATAGATAACCTTTGCCCAGCTCAAAGATAGGATACTACAAAGATGGTCATCTTAGCTAGCTGGAATCATTGAAAAAAAAGTGGATGAATATAGTTAATAGTAAAGTTTCTCCAGAAAAATAAAGCCAATAGGATGTATGTGTGTGTGTGTGTGTGTGTGTGTGTGTGTGTGTGTGTGTGTGTGTGTGTGCATACACAGTCAACATTCCATATGTGCAGTTCAGCAACAATGCATTTAACCAGTCATAGATCATGAATAGATTTGAGTCTGCCATGGTTGTGTCTGTACTGAACATGTGCACACATTTTCCCTTCGTCTTCATTCCCTAAGCAACACAGCATGACGAGTGTTTACAAGGTAGTCACATTTATTAGGTGATCTAAGTTGCCCGGAGATAATCAAGTACATGCAAAGAAAAGTAGGTCGGATGCAAACATCGTGCCATTTTATATAGGGGATTTGACTGTTCACGAAAGGGACTTGAATATCTGAGAGAGGTCTTGATTGATTGATTCTTAGGAGTTGGTTTGTGTGACTGTGGAGGATGCCACGTCCAAGTTCTGCAGGGTTAGCTGGTGAAACTGGATAGGCATGAAGCTAAAAGTGAGGAATTCAAGGAAACTACAGCTGAGTCTTGGTAGCTTGTCCCCTGGGCAGGCAGAGAGGTAGACGTATGGGAACCAAAGAAACTGCGATCTTGGTAGCTGTCTCCTGATAGTAAGAACTCCGGTGGTTAAACATACCACTTTATGTTCTTCCTTTAATATCAAAACCCGAGTCACTTGAACCCTTCCTCAGTTACTATATACGAGCAATAAAGAGGGAGTGTGCATCCTCAAAAAAAAAAAATCTGAACTCATTGGAATATCATTTGCATTTTGGTCTTCCTTGTCAGCCTTTAAGTACCATGGGAAGAATTACCCTACATAGGGAGCTTTGGTCTCCCATGATTTGAGAGAAAAGGTCACCTTAACCCCATGAATAAGACACCCACTTCCTAAGTATTTATGAACCTTCGTAAAAAATCTCCAATGCTTGGCCCACTTCTGGCCCCTCCTTTGGGACTGCATACTGCATTCTCTCTTTGGAGTATACGCTTTGCTTTGCTAAATGAATGCCTGATTAAACTGTCTGTATCTCTTTTTTAAATTCTTTCCTTGGAGAAGACAAGAACTGAGAAGAAACTTTCACCAGGTAACACCAGTGGCTGGGTGGAAACTCGGGCATCCAGTCCAAAGGCAGAGTTCTCTCTCCCTTAGGGGAGGTCAGTTTTTTCCATTAAGACATTCAACTGGTTGAATAAGGCCCTCGAATTTATAAAAGGTCAGATGCAAACATTAACTTTGTCAAAAAAGTGTCTTCAAAGAAGCATTTATTTGACTGACCAAATAAGTGGCTGTTATGGCCTATGTAAGCTGACACAGTGGATTAACTTTCATGAACTGCTTAGGAAATGTCTCTCAAAACAGGTCGAAGAAGGCCACATTCTCATCTCTCTCAACATTCTTATGCGTGGCCTCCCTGGGACTTCATGCCTTGTGTGTTCCCTCATTACTGACTCAACTTGGGATTCTTTATCAACCTTGCATCCCTCACTACTGGAAAAAAGCCTACTCATCTTTCACAGTTCAGATCAAATGTTAGCTCAGCGAAACTTTAATACCACACTTCATCCAGGAGACTTCATTCCTTCCTGTTCCCCTGTGCTGGGGCTACTTTAACATTCTTACATTGCGTCACTTGTATATCAAACTGCAGATCAGCAACGTGGCTTTAAAAGTATAGGGGGAATTTCCCGAATGTGGTATTTGTTGGAAGGAACTACCAATCCTAGGAGCAGCAAAGGGAAGACATTAGAATTGGGAAAACTTAGAAGCTCAGAGGTGGAGATCCATAAAGCTTAATGACCTCTAGAAAAGGGCACTGTTGGCCTGGTCCTGATTTACCTGAGCTTGCTGGATGGGCTGCATGGGCAAGAGACCCTGACCCAGCAAGAATGGGTATCAATTGTTTGCTGCTGCCCAAGTCTTATTTCACTGTCACAAGTGTCAAGAGGTGGGAAAATTTAAGCTATTTTGCTTTGCTTTGTTAGTATGGGTACTTAATCTAATAATGTATCTTCCATAATTTGTTCTGACTTTGCACAGTTTCTGTCATAATTGAGGTAAAAAGTTTATATGATCTAAAAATAATATGGATTCTGGTACCAGACTTACTAGGTTCCATCCCTCATCTCACCAAGTTGCACAACTTGTCTGTCCCTTGATTTTTCCATCTGTCAAATGGAGCTAGAATGGCTCTGGCCACTTGGGAGGATCTAGACAGTTAATAGGTAGAAAAGTCTTGGAATGGTGCTCTGGGCTGGGGCTATTGCTCAGTTGCAGAGTGTCGGCCTCATTATATGCAAAGCCTGGACTTGATGGGCACCACCAGGAAGAAAAAAAAAAGGAAATAAAGGAAAAGTCAAGCAACCAAGCAAATAAGCCAGTGTTCAGCATATAGCGGCCACTCAGAAGCCCACAGTCATTCCCATTCCTAGTGTTATTGTTGTTAGTTGATTTCTGTGTCACGTGGATACGTTCTTACTTCTCGAGGACAGGGGCATGATCATAGTTTCTTTGCACACCTCCAACACTATAGAGAACAAGCTCTACTGAGTCTTCCTGGAGTTTATGTGACCTTGCTTTTGCAGAGATCCCCAACAGCACCATTGGCACCTCACAACCAAGCCTGTGAAGTGGTTATTACCCCCTTTTGACAGATGAGGGAACTGAGAAGTAGTCAATAAGTGAATTGTCCAGTGTCAGACACAGCTGACCGGTTCAGCTCCAAGGTCATTAAAAAGAAACACCCGGGTCATCGAGAGTTTTTCCTTTCTGGCCCAGCCAACTCTTTAATCCCCCACAGCCTTCCTTTTACTACCAAGAGCACTTGGATCGAGAAGGCTGGAAAAAGCAGAAACCCCCATTGATGTCGCAGACTGATTAAGGGAAAGGTGTGGGCAGGAGCCGGATATCAGTATAAAATGTCCTCGGGGGTAACGGTGGCCTCTTCCATTTTAGTCTTGATTTCTGGGAGGGGAATTTGACTGATTGCCACCACAACCAAGTTTGCCGCGTGGGCCGATGCACTCGCCACGCATATCCAAAATGACTCTTCATACTGTTCTTCCACCACGACAAACTGAAAGAGCCTCTCCTGGAAGTTGGCAATTCTTTCTGTCAGGTCGTGAAATTTCACTGCAGCCATGAAGCTGCCGATGGCTAGTGCCACGACTCCACCTGAAACCCAAAATAGCGCCTTTACTTACTGCTCCTCTTGGCAGTCCTAAGGTCTCTACTTCTGTGCTATGTGAAACAAAATCTTTTGGGTGTGAAGAATGACTACAGCAACACAAATTTGAATTTGTGTTTAAAAGCAGTGGACAACTCACAGAGTCTCAAAGGCAAGAGGGACAGTTGTCTAGAAAGAGAACAAATTAATAACAGATGGACTAGAATCTGGATGCCTCTAACTCCTCTTTCCAGTAGCATCCCCATTAGAGGACCACTTTCTAGACCCCTTATGCCTTCTGTATAGATAGTGAGCACTGTGTACAAAGAGGTAAGATCCTATTCTGTAGGGTGAGGCTTCACCTTCCGGCTGCACTGTTCTACAGAAGGTGGAAACGCTGGAATTCCAAACCTCACTTAACTCCCTAGCAATTGAGCAAAACTTAGAAGTTGTTTGGTGGGTCCCCTCTCCCATTTTAACTGAAATTGACAATCAAAAAGACACAATAAACTGAGTCTGGTAGTGTACACATGTAATTCAAGGGCTTGAGAGGCTAAGGCAGGAGGATTGCAAGTTTGAAGACAATTGACCTACAAAAAGAGAATCAGGAGGAGCGGGGGTGGGGGAAGGGTGGGCAAGGTGATGCTCGATTTTAATGGCAGTACTTGGGAGGCAGAGGCAGGTGGATCTCTGTGAGACTGAGAGTAGCCTGGTCTACATAGAGGGTTCCAGGCTAGCCAGGACTGTGTGGTGAGACCCTGTCTTAAAAGAGAGAGAGAGAAAAAAAAGGGAAAAATAACAAAACAAAAACCCATTCTCAACTGTGTGTGGAGACTCATAATTGTATCACATGGGAGACTGAAACGGGAGGGTCACCATGAATTGGAGTTCAGGCTGGGATACAGATTAAGACCTTGTCTTTAAAAAACAATTTATAAAAGGGTATATTTTCTATGTTTTTAAAAGATTGTTACACAGTCACTAAAGAAATTTTGGAGTCCAGAGACAACTATAAGCACGGAAAATAAAATTTAGTTTCACCCTAAAGACCAGGCATACTTTGTACACATTAGTATGTTTCTTATATTTCATTCTTTTGAATACAATCAAAGGTACTCTTAATTTGATTTTAAATTTGTTTTTTTTTTTCCTTTCACCTGAGGGTGTTCCTGGGTTGTTAACTATTCTGTAAGGGCATGACTTTAAAAACATGTATACTATTTTATTCTGGAGCCATGCCTACATTTTAAAGGATGGCCTTGCTTCTGGGACTCTAGATGTTAGGAACTGTGTTCTCTTCCATTTCCTCTCCATAAGCCCCATCTATGGGATTCTTCACAGCCAAAGGCTATTTACATTTTTATTTGTTTTGACAATATGTTTCTTCTGATTGCCTATTTGTTAGGATCTCATCAATGGAATTAGAACAGTGGTTCTCAACCTTCCTAATGCTGGTGACCCCCAACCACAAAATTATTTCACTGCTACTTCATAACTAAATTTGTTACTGTTACGAAACATAATGTAAATATCTGCTCTATGATCCCCAAAGGGGTGAAGACCCACAGGTTGAGAACCACTTAATTAGAGAGTCCTAAGACTCTAGATATGTAGACTCTACTCTCTAGATACGTACAGAAATAAGTACTTATTTAATGAGTAGGACTGAATCCTTTTTAGGGTAAGAGTCTGCCGAGATAAGACACCTGCAGTCCTGGTGACTGTACAGGATAGCTAGCTTTTATATACAAAGGCAAATACATAGCAACTGATGGACTATAATATATGTTGCAAAACCAGTACTTGTGTTTACACTTTATGATCCTCTTATACATGGCTAAGGTGGTGAGAGATTATTGCCACAGTGGAACCTTGACCGTCCCATATGGGTTTTCTGAGACAGTCTTTTTTTTTCACAGGATTTGTTGTTGTCACTATAGACGATGTATTAAGTACATAATTAAAGGTAACTCTTACTTTCCACGTGTCCACATATTAGCTAATCTATGTGAATACAACACTGTTTCTTTCAGCAAAGAAAACATTCCTTTTTCTACCAAGGTTTTGGACCCAGTGAGGGGCATGTGAAAGAGCGGAGAGTTAAATATTTTAATTTCTTCATACTTTTCATCCGACTACTTACGCTACAGGACTTGATGGCTTTAGAGACCATTAAGGGTGGACCCTTTCCCTCATGGTCAGTTTTTCTCCCTCCTGCCTGTCTTTGGACCCTACCTTCTGTTTTTCTTGTAATACTGGAAAGGGAAGACCTTCTTTAGGATCCAAATGACCATATGGGTGGAGGTACCTGGTTGAGACCCATTAAGGGAAAGCTACTTCTTCCTGGTCAAAGGATATAATTAAAATTCTATGTCTGGCTCTGGGTGGAGACCTACCACTCCAAACTGCCCTAAACATTGCATTCTAGTGTCCCTTCTGTTTAAGAGTTACTGGAGCTCAGCCTGTCAATCACCCAACTAGGAGTCTACCCTTCTATGGTGGACTTTAGGGCTTTGGGACTTTCCTTTCCCTTGAGAAATCTGACTTATATGTGGATGTGCTAAGGAGATGGGAGGAGCAATTATCCTCTTAATAAGATAGTTTATTTACCTTTCTTCAAAGCCCCTTCTTTTCTGGAGCCATTTCAGCAGCCTGCCCACCCTTCTGAAAAATGGAACTTTTCCAAAGTTCTCTTTATCACTGTTTAGATCCCGGCCAGGGGTCTAAGCATGCTTTCTGGGACACCGTGGGGCTTCCTCATGCATTTGCTAAAGTTCACCTCTCCTTCCACCAGGCAGCTTACTGACTTCTGTCGCTGAAGCTGACTGCTTTCTTAAAGTCACGGACTTTCTCTTCTCCATCTCCCTCCTCCTGGCAGTTGCCAAGATTTACAGCTTGTCTTCTCTCTTGTTTTTCTCCCAGACTCCAATAAAAATGCACCTTAGCTTCCTTCTGTTTTTAAATTCTTTCATTAACAAGACTAAGAGCCCCAAAAAGGTTAACACTTGGGAGCCCAGCCTGATCGTGTACACCCCAGTTTCCCTCCCCTGGGGGCTTCTTACCTGCCAGGACATTCCAAAGGCAGATGCCACCAGGGCCATTGACTGCCCTGTAGGGGACTTGAATGATGTTGAGAATAGCAAAGCCCATGCTGACCAGAGCCAGGGCCAAGGCCAGGAAGAGGAGCAGCAGAATCGTGACATGGAGGCTTGCATTGAGCTCCTTCACCAGGTGTGGAAAGACTGTGGAGAGAGACGATATTTCAAGGTCAGAGTGTGGTTCCTTTCACAATGTCAGGACTTGCTTATCTCAAGATAAGTAAGTAGAGGATAAGGGCAAGACACAAAAATGCTGGGTTTTCCAAAACCAAGAGACTTCCTGTGAATGATCCATGGACCCTAGAGCTACCACTTGTTAGTTGGCCAGGAATCTTCATCCTGGTGGAGTGAACACAAGTCCAAATGTACCCCACAGTGGACATTACACTGACCCTGCAGTCCTGGGTGGGATCTGGTGTAAGCTGCTGCACTTCATATAAGCCCCAGGCACACGTGGGGCAGGGTAGATGCTATTGCTGCCGAGTATCAAGGATACTTAATACTCACATAGTATAATACTTCGTGAAAATATCAATTTTCCATGTGAATGTGGTGGAAGAGGTTAGTGAAATATCTGTTTCTATTTGTTTCTCTATGTTTGCCACTGGTACTAGCAGAGAAAATGAAATGATGTACTAGAGTATTTCAAATATTGTCCAGGACAATCTGCTCTCAGAGATGACATCTGTGGGTACTGGTGTCGTTATTTGTACTCTCTAACCTGGGAAAGGCATGTGGCCTCAGTGGGAAGCTGGTGATGGTTGTGTGGGAGAGGGGAAATTGCCTTTTGCTGAGCACAGTTATGGGCTGAGCTCTTTGGAGCCATCGTCTCATTCAGTGGTCATGGTAAGGCATCTGGAGGTTGTCAACTCCCTTCACCCACAAGCTTAGAGACATGGAGCTTATTGTCATTGGGTACGGCAACCCTGAACTACATACAGAAGTTAGAGTACATACAGAATATACGGTCCTGTGTATTATGTGGTATAACAAGTTTAAGGTCAGTTTTTAACAACTTAAAATGACGAATACTAAAGAATCCCATCCCTTAGCAGACTCCAAGGTTGGCATCTCTCAAGCCTAAAAACTAGAGGGTATTTTTTTATTGTTTTAGACAGGGTCTCACTATACAGTCCTGGCTGGCCTGGAATTGGCTGTGTAGACCAGGCAGGCTGGCCTCCAACTCACAGAGATTCACCTGCTTCTGCCTCCTGAGTGTTGGGATTAAAGCATGCACTACCACGCTGGGCAGGAGTGAGGGCTCTTGTTCTCCTCCCTGTGTGGCGTCATTCCCATTCACAGGTCTCCAGGCACCACCCACATTCACATGCTGGGTTCTTTTTTTTTTTTTAATCTTATTTATTTTTATTTTATGTGCATTGGTGTTTTGCCATGGGTGTCAGGTTCCATGGAACTGGAGTCACAGACCACTATGAGCTGCCATGTGGGTGCTGGGAATTGAACCCAGGTCCTCTGGAAGAGCAGTCAGTGCTCTCAACTGCTGAGCCATCTCTCCAGCTCCCACATCGTGGGTTCTTATTCAACTTTCTTTCCAGTTCTGTGTTTCCATTTGTCATTATCTCTGCATGGTCAGCTCACTGGCTTTGGAAACTTTAGCTGGGGAGATGGGCTCCTTTCCAAGGACTTTGTCTTCCTCAGGCATTGGTCTTCCCTTTGTTTCCATTCTAATGCCCTTCTTGAGACACAACATCCACTTTCAAACCCTGAGTCTCTTCTTATTCCAGACACAGTATCTTCTACCCAATTGCCCATCTCTTTACTCCCTTTCTTGATCATGCAATCCTTAGGACACATGACTAGTATAGTATAGCAACCCTTTACTAAATCCTTAAAATGCAAAATAGTCACTCACATGATTGGCAAGATTAAAAACTCTTGTTGATGATGGTGTAGGAAAAAGGCACTCTCAAATCCTATAGGGATGCTCAGTCCTACATCCCCATTAAAAGGCAATTCGATCAAAGGCAGCATCTATCAAAGCAATTTCATTGCTAGTCATTGTTGTCCAGACAGACCAATGCATTCAAAGTTGTGTACGTACGTTGGCTGTTCATTACAACAGCAAACATTTGGAGATAGATTAATTCTTCCAGTCAACAAAGTAGTTGAATAAATTTAGTTATGACATCACAATGCAGATTTTAGAAAGAACCAGCCGCAAGCACATGATGACATGACCTATATTTGGAGTTGACTAAATGAGAAATTGAAAACCATAATATGATGATGAAGAAGAGGGAACCTGGGCACAAAGACTGATGTGGGGAAGGAGGTAAAAGAGTACTCAATCCACAGTCTCCAGTTGAAGTGTCTTAATTAATCATACAGACTATTGGCACAGGGTGAATCTCTGGCTAACATTCACATTCATGTGGGTTATTCCTGGCTCAGGATCTTCCTGGGAACCAAGGTTTTAATTACCTTTTATATGTTACTACTCAGAAATTCAAGTCTTTCTTTAGGAGTTTCAGTTTAACAGTTTGTTCCACTAGGTTTTTCTCCCCCAATACCCTCGAACAAGGTTTCTCTGTGCAGCCCTGGCTGTCCTGAAACTCACTATATAGACCAGGCTGGCCTTGAACTCAGAGATCAGCCTGCCTCTGCCTCCTGTGTGCTGGGTTTCCTTTAGTTTTTTAGAAGAACTCTACATTTAACTCTGTTGCATGGTACTGCCCCCAGAAGACTGTGGCTCACTCCTTTTTCATGTTTGTACCATTTCCAAGAGTTTTAGGCATTTTTCACTTAATGAAATTGAGGTTTGCAGCTTGGAATCCACAGCGATGAACACAATTGATCCATGGCCGCCATTGATAATCAGGTATAAGCTGTGTGCAGGCCCTTCATACACATTCTTCCTTTTGTCCCTCTCTCTCCTTCGTGTGTGTGTGTGTGTGTGTGTGTGTGTGTGTGTGTGTGTGTGTGTGTGTACATGTACCTGTGAGTGCTCATGTATATGTTCATGCATGTGGAGGCCAGAGATCAGCCTCAGGGTGTTCCTCAGATGCTATCCACCTTGTTTTTTGAGAGTCTGTCACTGAGACCCAGGACTTTCCAATTAATCCAGGTTTGCTGGCTAACAAATCCTGGGGACCCTCTCATCTCTACCACCCCAGCATTAAGATTACAAAGGCATGCCGGGCGGTGGTGGCGCACGCCTTTAATCCCAGCACTCGGGAGGCAGAGCCAGGCAGATCTCTGTGAGTTCGAGGCCAGCCTGGGCTACCAAGTGAGTTCCAGGAAAGGCGCAAAGCTACACAGAGAAACCTTGTCTCGAAAAACCAAAAAAAAAAAAAAAAAAGATTACAAAGGCATGCCTCTATACCTATCTTTTTACATGAGGAGCGCTTTGCTGACTGAGTTTGCTCCCGAGGTCACCCTCTCTTATTCTTGCAGATGTGGAAACTGAAGTTTAGAGAAGTTAAATCGTTTAGCCAACACCACGCAGCCCGGTAGTAATGCCTAACTGTTCTGCGAAAAGGCTGATAGGAGAAAAATCAGAAACCTTAGATAAACGAGTTTAAAATTGTGTGTGGTGGTGGCACATGCCTTTAATCCCAGCACTTGGGAGGCAGAGGCAGAGAGACAGGCAGATCTCTGTGAGTTTGAGGCCAGCCTTGTCTGTAGAGTGAGTTCCAGGATAGCCAGAGCTATTACACATAGAAACCCTGTCTAAAAAAAAGTTTAAAATTTTAATCACAGTGTAGCTCAAATTCTAGAAGGCTCAATTTGAATTTAAGCTTTTTTTTAAATCTAAGAAGCAATACCTGAATAATATTCTATCAGCATTTAAACTTAGATGATTTGTTTGTCCCTTATTTTTTGCCCTGGTGAGATAAATAAATAATCACAGAATTGGAAGACAGATCCAGGTTTTAGCTCTTGGGGAGAGAATTCTTTGGTAAGATGTGGGAAGGGGACTAGAGAGCTAAACTTCAACATAATGTAAGTTAGGTATATTCACAGAAGTTATTTCATGTATTGATATCTCTAATTCGCAATTTCTTCTTTAATAAAATGTCATCATAAAGTCAGGGTAGAGGAAATGAACCCCAGGGGTGGCGTCAGAGATTCTCTAGTGACTAGCGTCTAGTCCGAATGTGCTCCATGTCTCCTATGTCACACAGCAGGTTTCTCAGGGCAGGCACTTGTCTGCTCTGTTCATCTCTCTTTTCCTGGTGGTGTCTGGCTTGTATCTACTCAACAGTACTTCTGAATGCACACATGCCATTCATTTAATGCTTGCTGCTTTCTTTCTGCAGCTACTCCAGCATTACTTTTATTTCAGAAGTTCTAGATGGTTGGTGGTGGCAAATGTCTTGGTGTTCCCATGACCAATGAGGGAGTTGAGTCTCTCAGAAGAGTCTCTGTGATGGTGAGGAAAGAGGCTGTTTGTGAATGAGACGTGATAAAAATCCCCTAGTCTAAAGTTCACAAAGCACTTCCCCAAGCTCCTCTCTGCTGATTTGACCTGTGAACAGGGATATTCTTCTGTAGACCTTCAGAAAGTGGGAAATCCTGTGAAGCGTGGGAAATGCTGATGTACTCCATAGCTACTTCCAGTTCACATTATACTGGACTTGAGAGATGTGCCTGAAGGAATTTAGATCATCTCTAGAGAGGTAATAATACACACACAATGTCTCTACAGCACATGATCGAAGGAAGAAGCTACCTCAGGCTTCCTGAGAGCTTTCAAGCACGATCTTTCCAAGGTACTGTGAATGAATACTTCTAAGGTACTGTGAATGAACACTTCTAAGGTACTGTGAATGAACACTTCTAAGGTACTGTGAATGAACACTTTATACATCCTCTGGGACAACCTGAGAGCAGCTGAAAACAAAACATTCTTAAACACTGCCCGACTCACAGATGAAAATGAAACACCTTCTATGCATCTCACACGTTTTTGATGCTTGAGACTAGATCACACTAGAGAAAACGGATGGTTCTTGTGTTTATCTTTCTTAGAAGGAAGGAGCAGGAGAGAAACTCCCCATTAGAAGCAGTTTAAGTTTCTGGGAGCTAAGGATGGCTCAATTCCCACTAGCATTCAGGTACCACTAGCACATTAGAGGACCACAGGCACTTGGCTGCCCTGCCATGCTCCCACATACTAAAGTTTCATAAGTGTCCCAAGGACATACTGGCAGCCAGAGCATTCAGATCAAGTACCATTATTATGGTCTCCTTTTAACATATCCTTTTCTTTGTTTATTTGTATGATTATTTTTCAACTTCTACTTTTTTTTTTGAGTGTGTGTGTGTGTGTGTGTGTGTGTGTGTGTGTGTGTGTGTGTGTGTGTATGTAGTTTGTACATCTGTGTGTGGGCTTTCAGAGAACAGAAGAGGACATTGGATGTCCTACTGTATCAATCTCTGCCTTATTTCTTAGAGACAGGGTCTCTCACTGAACTCAGAGCTATGCTAGCAGCCAGCAATCTGTCTGTCTCTACTCTCAAGACAGCACTGGAGTTACATGCTTGCATGTGACCAAGCCTGAGCCACCTGTCCGGTCCCCTAGGTTGTGGTAGTAATGGAGTTATTTCCCCAATACTTAAGGTCCATTTTAATTGCTAGGTGAATATAAATATACTCAGAGATTTTTTTCTCAAACATAATAAACATGTCTTTCCTTTCTATATAGAAATGAAGAGCATTTGTATAATGTTTCTCAAGGGATACAACCTTTTATTTTTCTGTATTTAGTGAAATGCATGTCCTGGCCAGGTTTTTAAACATTCCCACACAGTTCTGAGATACAGAAATCAAGTGATGGGTGAGATTTCTAATCCCCATGTGCTGACAAGCCATTGATTAACTATAGTTTTGTAGGACTATCACTATATTTACTAGTGATCTAATTGATTGTTTTGTTTTTTTCTTTCCCAGAAGATCTTTCCTAAGCCATTTTTGGACTCCAGCCTTAGGTCTTCATGGGGCTGCTTTGTTTACTTTCTGAGCTCTGAACTCAGGCCAGTGCTGCTGGCTGCTCATCTTTAAACCATCAAGTGCCTTCCTCAGTCTCCTTGCCAGGAAACGTGTCAACTGCTCTTCAAACCCCAGAAGTATGCTCCCAGCAAAGTTCTGCTGCTGTTCCTCAGGCTATGAAGCTTTCACATACATGGATGTGGGAGCAGTCACCATGCTTCCTGGAGGCCCCCTTCTGCAGGCAGTCTGCCCCTGTACACTGATGTAGTGAAGACTACCAGAGTCACACACATAGCATGGCTCTGTTGTTACTTGGCAGAATGAGTGACCCCAGGTGAATAATGTAACTTCTCAAGCCTCAATGTACTCTGATGAAAAATGGGAGCATTCATGATGCCTTCATTATTAGTGTGTTGTAAATCTTAAAAGAATCAGTCAATGCGCAGCTTCTAGTGGGATGCTTGACACATGAGTACTCGATATTTTTTTTTTTTTTTTTTTTTTTTTTTTTTTTTTTGGTTTTTCGAGACAGGGTTTCTCTGTGTAGCTTTGCGCCTTTCCTGGAACTCACTTGGTAGTCCAGGCTGGCCTCGAACTCACAGAGATCCACCTGGCTCTGCCTCCCGAGTGCTGGGATTAAAGGTGTGCGCCACCACCGCCCGGCTGAGTACTCGATATTTTACTAATCATTATTACTAGAAGTAAACTACAAAATATACAAATTCCTATTTCCAGTATTTTTGTTTATTTCTTTTAGAAAAGAAAGAAAAATTCTCTTTGCATTGCTACACAGGAGCTATTGGCTGCCTATAGATTTTGATGTTTTGTCTTAGATAGGCAATAGTCAAATCTCACTTAGACATAAGCACTCCTGAAAAACAAAAATGCACACACCAGTTTACATGCTCCAGTATACTCACATACTCACTTGTAAATTGGGACTGGCGGCCCCCGAGCCCACATTGCCGTATTTTACAACCTCGGAAGAGCCCATAGTAAATGTCCCCGATGAATTTGACCAGTTCTGGGTCTGTGGCATTGACCAAATCCACTCCAGTTTGACACAGGATCTTCCCACTCAACCAATGGGGCACAGCCAAGGCAACGATGATCAGAAGGAAGGAAGAGAAGCTGAGTAGAGACGCCAGCCCATACCACGCCTTTTTGAACCATCCAGGCATGCTAGTGAGTGCAGATCATCCCCCAGGGCTCTGGGCAGCAGTAGGGCAAGTGGACATCTTCAGACACTCGGCGATAGCCTGCTCCATACACACCAAGTCAAGACTTCCAGTCCATCTCCTCATCCTCCTTCAGTGCCTGCCTCCTCAGCTTGTGTTTACTACATGCCCATCCCAGCCTCTGCAGGTGATCTTCCCCTGACTCGACAGAGCAGAGTGTGTTACCCAAGGAAGTAACCCTATATCTCCCACTGGACTAGGGTTTCAGCAGAGGCTTAATTGTTCCTCCGTTCGAGTATTTAAGTAATCGTGATGTGGATGCCATAAGGACCAGAGAGTTATTACCAAGCAAAGCCGGGGAGAATTGCTGACAAAGGATGCTAACTAGACTTAAAAAAATAAAAATTGCATGGCAGAAGCAAAGCAGAACGGACCCATTAGCGCTCACATGTGTTAGCGACAATGTGCAGGATCAAATGTCGATCTCTTCCAGGCGTGCCCTGGCATTTCTTTCTCTAAAATGTCACTGCTGTCAGAGTCCCCGGAACTGTTACCAATACCATGAATCGACCCTGGTTCATAAGGCTTAAATTGAAATGATTGAATTAGAACTGTATGGATTTGTTGCTGGATGAACGGTAACATGAAATCTGTTTATTGTAATTACAGGGCCATCCTATCCCGTGCTCCCACTTTTCTATGGCATCTGACATTGGCCAGACACTTTTATTTCTTTTTTTTTTGTACATTCTCCCTATGCATCTTAGATATTGATTTGCAGGAAGTCCTTCCTCAGCTTCCTGCTGCCTGGCTGAGAAGTTATCGAAAACTCAAGATCTATCTATCTATCTATCTATCTATCTATCTTTCTATCTATCTATCTGTCATCTATCAATCACCTATCTACATCTTTTACATCTTTCTATCATTTATCAATCATCTACCTATCATCTATCTACCTATCTATCCATCCACCCATCCACCTATCTATGTATGCATGTATATGGATGTATGTATCTATCTATCAATCATCTATCTATCTATCTATCTATCTATCTATCTATCTATCATTTATCAATCATCTATCATATATCTACCTATCTATCCATTCATCCATCCATGTATGTATGTATGTAGCAAAATTGGGCAAAGGCAGCTCAATAAACTTTTCAATGTTTCCTACAGCTGGAGAGGCTTCTGAAGTTACATTTGGTGGTCAGTAGGAACCTAAGACTTTCTTGGAGATATTGTGGACATGTTATAGAAGCGACATGTTATAGAAGAGAAGTCCGGCTCATGAGGAGACTCACTAAAGTAGCCTCTCCATAATGGAAAGAAAGAGCAGTATTTCTGAAGCTTTTGGGGAGCTCTACCAGACAACAAAGGGCTTTAGTGTATGATTTTGCATCTCTGATGCTCCAGCAACCTCGTGGGCCAGGTCACTGTTTTTCTTATGGGCAAAGTAGTGGAGACACTGGGCTGGAATATAGGTCTTTGAAATATTTTGACTTATCTTTACCACAATGCCCTGGAAATAGAAAATGTTTATCTGCCAACAAGTGACACAGTGCATATAAGAGCCCTTGAAGACTATTTGGCATATTAATACATGACAAATAATATTAGCTGACATTCTTAGTTTAACATTAAGGATATATTTAGAAGATAGGATGTACTTATGCCTTGGAGTTACAGTTCTGTATTAAATGATGGGCTTATATCAACTTTTGATGTTTTGAGGGCTTTCAGAAAAAACTCTGAGTTAACGCCTGAGTTCTAGCAAGCTCATGCCATGTTGACTCAAGTGCTGGTTGAGAGGAACTCCAGTTATCAAAGACCAGATTCAAAAGTCGCTCTCTCAGGCAGGTGTTTGAGACTCCCATGCCCTTGTATTTACAGCCAGCCATAGGACTGTTGTGTGCAGAAAAGTGAACTTGTACACATAGATTGCTTAAAACTGCCTGCCATGAGGAGGGCACTACATAAATGTGCCTTTCACTCCCACCAGGTTTCTCAACAATTCTACTTTGGATGATAATGCAGCTCCTGACAGTGGAATGTTCTGCCAGCCACATCCTGATGTTTGCTGACATAGGTCTTCAGGTCTCACCTGTTACAGGTAAAACTGTGTTGTCTACAAGCCACCCTGTGGGCTGGAGGTGCACAAAGAAGTTTAATATACTATCTGTTTCCGAAGGCTACAGCAGAGACAGCAGTTCTTAGCTAAAGGTGATCTTTACCCCTCAGGGGACCTTTGGCAATATTTAGAGTGTTTTTTTCTCCCCTTTTCTCCCTCCCCCTGGCTCCAGGGATTGAGTTCAAGTCTTTGGGCATGTTAGGCAAATGCTTCATCATTGGGTTACATCCTTAGCACTCTTTTTATTTTGAAACAGGGTCTCATTAAGTTACCCAGTCTGGCCTTGAGTTCAGTCTGTGGTCCAGGGAGAACTTGAGCTCGTGGTCCTCTTGCCTCAGCCTCAGTATCTGGGATTCCAGGCCTGGCTAGAGATAGTTTTGATCTTTATGACTCAAGGGCAGGGGCTTGCTATTGGCTCCTAGGGTTAGAGTCCAGAGATGCTGTGAGTACTATGAACAGACAGGCAACTCTCAGTTCCAGTTATCTGGTGCTAAAGGTCAGCAGTGCAGTTGTTAAGAAACTCTGTGCTCATGAGCAGAAATCATTAACCTACCAGTGGTGGGTGACACAGGATCTGTTGGGGAAGGTTGGCATTATTTGGTGGGTCTCAAATGTAGATCCAGGATAACCCTTGCTTACACGTAGCCAGAGAGGTGTAAGGACAGACCTAAAACTTACCATAGCTAAATTTGTGCCCCTACCAGACTAAGCTTGTTGTGCTATCTACTAATACTATTTTAAATATAGTAACAACTCCCCACCATATTCTCTGTTTTAAAGGCATGAATTCCAGAAATTGAAACATTTAAACTATAGAGCACTACAAATTTTGTATCACTGTTTTGGCAGATTTTCACCTTTAAATGCATCCCCAGACAGACAATTTGTCCTCCATTTGGAAAAATGTAGCAGACTTCTAAGAGGTTCAGTAAATTTTAATAACCAGTACTGAGAAGACTAATACTGATAGCCGCATACTGCTCGAAGAGTGCTTTCACACTCTTTTCTCCAACTCTTAGAGGCACAGACTATCATTCACATTTTATTAGCGAGGATAAACTGAGGCACAGAATAACTGAAGGAATTACTTAGGCCACACAGCTATTAGGCAATGGGGTCAAGCAAAGTTCATACTTTTATTTGGGGGTTAAAATATTTTAGGTGGTCTACTAAGTGTCTGCAATTACTTTCACCTACTTGAGCCCCGCAGCTTCAGCACTACTGAACTCTTGTTCCTGGCTGGGGCGTGGCGCTCCTAAAAGATCGCTTGCCTGAGGGCGGAACTTTGCTGCTGTCCATAAGGCTAGTAGTGTTCCCAGCTTAGGCGGAGAGAGTGCTGCGCGCTTATTGGCCGACAAGCGAGGGCGGGTCACAGGGCCGAATTTAGAGCAGGCGCCTAGGTAGCTACGCTCCTATTGGCTTACGGGCGGCGGAGGCGGGGCAGATGGGCGGGGCGCAGTAGAGAGCGCGTACCTAGGCGGCTGAGAGTCTCCTCCCTCACCGAGAGGAGGCGTGGTTTAATGTATCTCGGCCTTAGGGCGGGGCACAGTCGAGATCACGCGCTCCAACTGGCGCCCTCCTATTGGCCGAAGTGGGAGGCGTGGCTCGGCAAATGGCTCCGTCTCCCGGGGCGGAGCGTCGGGGGCGGAGCGCAGGTAGGGGCGGGCAACCCGCTTGAGTTCCGCGTGGGGTAGCGACTGCCACAGCAGTGCGTTCGCGCTTGGTATTTCGTACGTACCGCGGGAGCCTGTCAGGAGAAGAATGGCGGCTTCGGGCGAGGCGCGCCGGGTGCTGGTGTACGGCGGCAGGGGCGCGCTGGGCTCGCGCTGCGTACAGGCCTTCCGAGCCCGCAACTGGGTAACGCTGCGGGACGGCCGCGGCGAGCGGCAGACACTTGGAGAAGGGGGGTGGGAGGGATTACCCTCCCTGTGCACCCTTGACTAGGCTACACTGGCATGCTCCGGTCTGTTCTAGGCCATAGGTGTCGAGCCTTTGCCCTGCAAGGAGCGTGTGGTGTAGGTGCTCCTTAGGCTTCCTCCAGGCCCAGAAGGTCCAGCATGACTCGGGAGGGGAGAGGCAGAAGGGAGACTCTGGAATTGGGCTGCCCGAAGTTATTAGCCCAGTGACCTTGAATTGATTAACGCCCTCTAGCCTCAGTTCCCCAGTAAAATAAAATGACGATAATGTTCTTGTTTACTTTTGGGTCGATCGTGATGGTTCAATGAAATAACAGGTAAAAAGCCTTTTAAGTGCTAGCTGTCACCAATACTGCAGCTAAATATTATTACCCGTGTTGCTTTAGCCCTGTTGGATCTGGCAGTCGAAGGCAGCTGCTGACATCTTTGCTTAGTTAAGGATATTTCAAGTACTTTGCCTAGTCAGGTGTCCACTCCCAGAGGACAAGTGGGCACAGAGCTGATCTTGGCCCCAGCCTCTTAGCAGGCATCAGCATGGTTCAGCACAGGAGACTTGTCCTAGAGTCAGCCCTGGGGCTTGGAGCACCTTCCTGAGAGTTTAGTTAGCAGAAGCAGCAGCCTGCTACTGCAAGGGTTCCCCTGGAACTAAGAGAAGGGCCCAGGATTTTGTCCTGGCTTCAGTGTGGTACAAAAATAATATCACTATCTGTTTAGAACATGGAAAACTGGGGTGTCTTCCACGATCTGCGAAGATGGAGGGTGGAGACAAAGGCAGTGTTGAAGGTGTGGGCTTTGTCTACCTCAGTTGGGCCCTCTACTCCTTCCTATCTGTCAGCTTTCTCTGACTCTAACTTCATTGATCTCCCCTCCCCCAATGGTTATCTTTTATTGTCACATTGACAACCTAGAGTCACCCTGGAAGAGGGAACCTCAGTGGATGAATTGCTCCCCTGATTTGCCTGTGGTCATGTCTGTGAGAGCTTGTCTTGATGGATAATTGATGTGAGAGGACTTAGCCTGTTATGGATGGCACTATCTCTGGGCCTTGGCTGCATAAGAAGGCAGCTGAGCATGAGCCAGGGAGCTAGCTACTAACCAGTGTCCCTCCTTGGCCTTTGCATTGGGTCTGGTGTGCTGATTTACCCTGAATTCTGTTTCCCTTTCCTTCTTGGCACCCTAGGGAGGGCTGGGGTGGAGCCGACTTTGTCTCAGTATTATTCCCCATGGTTTGTGGTATACAAGTAATGAGTGTTGTTGAATGATGCTGTGCTTGCAGCTAAAGATAGATACTGACCTCTGGGGTCTTCAGCCTAAAGGACCCTGGAGGTTTCTGCAGTCAAACTCAGTGATGCTGTGAGTGAGTATCCTCCATCTCATTTTGTTCTTACTCTTCCTAACCCTGTTAACCATTCACCTGCTTTCTTTGATGAAGAAGATTACCACTTTATGGCTGAGCCAGCATTAGCACCTGAGTTGGGCATCTACATAGACGGCCAATCTGTCTGCTGTAGAGCCGGGGGGACCTCCACCGGACAACTGGACAGCTATCCATCTCTGTGCACCCAAGAGTTGTGGAGGGTTTTACGCTTGAAATGGTTTTATAAAATGAAAAGAATAACAACATGTGGCGTGTGTAGTTTATATTTCGGCATCTGGCATTTGCAAGGATGGCTCATCCAAGCCCCCACTCCATATTGTTTGTAGCCGACTCCTGTGCTAGCAGGTTTAAGTATTTGTGCAGAGATCATAGGCCAGCAAAGCCTTTGGTTCTCACTATGGGTTCTTCACAGAGGTTCTGCTGACTGCAGGTGTTTCTAAGTACATGTAGAGTTTGGCCTTGAGAGTCCAGCAGGGAAGAGGAAGGAACACGATGGCTTGGGGTGAATGAAGTGTGGTAGAAGGTGGATCAACTGCAGTCAGTGGCCCCTGAAGGATGCCTGGGAGATCAGTTGTAATTTCCTTTCTCTAGTGGGTTTTTGTTTACATGGTAAGCATCCAAAAATGTGAGATGCTTCTAAATCTGAAGCTTTTTAAGGACTATGGGATGCCCCAGCTGAGAAGTTTCATGACATGACACGTATTGCATGTTCAAGATTATTAAAAGCACGGTGTGAAATTTCTTTCATACCAAGTATACAATGTAAATGAAATGTGCATACAAAATGTGGATTTTGTGTTTAAACTCCAGTCCTATTCCCAAGATAAGTATGTGCAAATATTTCAGAATCCCAAATTGCTAACTGGAACATTTTTCGGTCCCATGCATTTCGGTTTGAGCCTCTTCACTTTCCCTGTTGTTTCCAATTCTGGGTGTGGCTCTTTCGAGAAGTAACAACTCACTGACTCTCACCCCAAACTATTTTCCTTGCTCTAGTGGGTCGCCAGCATCGACGTGGTGGAGAATGAAGAGGCCAGTGCCAGTGTCATTGTTAAAATGACAGACTCATTTACGGAGCAGGCTGACCAGGTAATTCTAAAAGGCCCCTTACTGTGACAGGAGAGGCCCAGGGTGGATTTCTCTGACTGTGTTCTTTGTCTGCCAATTCCCAAATCCTCCAAGGAAAACCTAGAAAAAGTGAAAAACAAAACTAAAAGCAAAAACAAAGATAAATTTTAGGATCCATTTCTGACTAGCTTATTTTGGCATGTTTCCTTGTCTTTACATGCTGTGTGTTAACTGCTTTTGCATGTCATATATTTTATATTGATGGTTAGATTTTTAAAACTTTACCCTTTAGTTGAAATACTTTATCTCACGTAAACGCTTTGTTGATGTATAATATTTTATTTTGTTGATTGGCTATGGCTTATTTAGTTTCTCTTTATTGTATGCCTCAGTCTTTTTTTTTTTTTTTTTTTTGTTTTTCGAGACAGGGTTTCTCTGTAGCTTTGGAGCCTGTCCTGGACTAGCTTTATAGACCAGGCTAGCCTCGAACTCACAGAGATCTGCCTGGCTCTGACTCCCAAGTGCTGGGATTAAAGGCGTGCACCACCACCGCCTGGCCTTTTTTTCTTAAGTTCGTTTTTTGTTTGGTTTTACTAGTTAACAAGAATAGTGTGGTTAGACATCTTTGTCTATCTGATATATTTTGAAAAGTGAAGTTAACCTCGTTCAAAGCATAAATACTAACAATATATTATTTTCAGTTATGAAATTATGTGCAAATTGTAAAACAGGAAAACAAACAGAACTCTAGAAAAATGGTAATCCTTTTCCCAAGATAGTGAGTGCTACTCCTCAGAAGGACCACTATTGCCAGTTGTATGTTTTTTTTTTTTTTTTCTTTGTGGATGTTTTAGTATGAGTATCTTAGAGGCTCTTAAGCAGTCCTCCCTCTGGAGGATCCCTTCTGATCCTCTGCCTGGAGGACTCAGGCCAGTGGTCCCACCCTCATTCCCAAGGAAATCCCCGCCTCCTTCCCTGTGTGGTGTACTGTTTTCAGGACTCCTGGGTAGGCAGGCAGGTGGGCCACTTCACCGTGGTGGCGTCAGTTTGGTTTCAGCCAGTAAGGGACAGTCTGAGAAGCTAGTTAGTGCTAGAGTTAGGGCAGGAGTTCCCTGACACGAACTCAGTCTAAGTGGGTCTGCCTTGTTGTGCTCTCTCCGGTGGTCTCAACACTGGCTGACGATTCGTGTTCCTTGGCTGTTTTAAATCACAGATGTGGGAAGGACTTGCAGAGAGTGCCTGGTCTTTACTAAGGTCACGCAGGTAGGAGAGTGGCACAGCTATGGTCTGTGCCCGGGCAGTGGATTTTATGGTGTGCTCTTACCTGCCTCAAAGCAATCACGTGGATAAAGCAGTGAAAGTAGAAACTCGGGAGAAGAGCAATGCTTGGGCTTGGAGAGCCGTAGTCCTTCCAAGTGTGGGTGGGTTCTGCCTTCAGTGTCTCCTCGGCTCTGAAGTATACGTTCTGACGGCAATGTGGGTTTATTTACTTATTATTATTATTGTTAGTATTGTTACTGGAGGGGGGAAAAGGGAGGCGAATGAAGAGTGTTAATGAGGGCGTACATGCTGTAATCCATGTATGGAGGTCAGAGGGCAACTTTTGGTAGTTAGTTCTTGCCTTCCACCCCTGGTTCCAGGGGTTAAACTAACTAACAAGTCTATACAGGAAGCACTTTTATTTGCTGAACCGTCCTGCTAGCCACCATATAGGTTTTTGAATGTTGAAGTTGTCCCCACCTGGGACTTGGCTATATAGAATGTGTCAGCAGGGAAAAATTTGTTATTTTAATCCTAGCTTTTTAAGATCTCTACTTCCTTTCATCCCATTGTGAGTCTCAGAGTCAACTACATGATACTTGGATTTTAATTTCGAGGCACCGGAAGAGAAAAGTTAGTTCTAGTACATGTGAAATTGGTCCGCTGGTCAAGACATTCAACCAAGGAGAAGAGATGCAGAAGTGAGACCAGAATTGACTCTAGAAGTTTAAGTTTATTACACGAATGAAGCATAGGTTAAAGTCAGATGGTCCATAGCTGCTGCTTGGTCTGTGCTCCCTTGAAGAGGAGGCAGCGTGGCACGGCTCCTGTGCCTATCCAGATGTGGGGAGTTGATGCAACCTCTGGCAGTCAGGGTCTAGTGAGTGGTTCTCAACCTTCCTAATGCTGGGACCCTTTAGTGCAGTTCTTCATGTTGTGGTGACCCCCAGCCATAAAATTGTTTTGATGCTACTTCATAATTGTAATTTTGTTGCTGTTGTGAATTGTAATGTAAATATCTGTGTTTTCCTATGGTCTTAGATGACCGCTGTGAAAGGGTTATTTGATCCCCAAAGGGCTCATGATCCACAGGTTGGGAACTGCTGGTCTAGGTTCTGGCCTGAGAGACTTGGCTTCTGAAAGAAGGGGAGGGGGCTCCAGGATTGTTCAGGGTCGTAGGAGGAAGGTCAACAAATAATATAGCCAGAGTAGGTAAAAGACACAGGATTCTAGAATCTGTATAAAAGGAAAGCCTTAAGTGTGGTTCTCAGGAAAAGCTTGATTTTCACTGGCCGGGCATTCCCTTTGAAGGAACAGTGTGAGGCTTCAGAAAAGAAGTAATGGTTCAGTGGAGATGTTGCTGGAGAGACTCTGGGTTTTGGTACGAGATTTTAAAAGATGGAGCATACTGAACACTTCAGAGGCATTACCTCAGACATTCCAGCCAATAAGAGCCACAATGGCTGGCCAGCACGGCCTGCATGTCCGACTGCCCTTTTAATAAACGATAATGAGAGTGTGTGGATATTTTCTCAGGGTTTTAACATTTCAAACGTAGAGACCATTGAAATTAACCCCATGTACTCAGCATGTACTAGCATTTCCCAGTGACTGTCATTTTCTTGCTCTTGTGTTTCTTAATGATATTTCTTTGTTAAAGATGTTTTTTGCTGGGCGGTGGTGGCACACGCCTTAAATCCCAGCACTCGGGAGGCAGAGTCAGGGGGATCTCTGTGAGTTCGAGGCCAGTCTGGTCTACAGAGTGAGTTCCAGGACAGCCTGGGCTGTTACACAGAGAAAACCTGTCTCAAAATAACCAAAAAAGAAAAAAAAAAAGATATTTTTGTTTAGAGTAGGGGTGGGGTGAGTGGAATGGAACCTTCTCATATCAGGAGCCTGTGATTCCTGAAGAAGATTTGGAAAGGAACATACCAGAACCTCGCCTGTTTGTCGTGAGGCTCTAGTGATTTTCTTAAGCCCCCTTCCTCCCTTTCTTTATGTTTAGATTTCAGGAAGTGCTCATGCCTTTTAGAATTGTCATGTAGAGGCTCTCCCTTAGGAAATTCATATTAAAAAGTTGTTGGCGTCACGGTCCAAAATGCATGGAACTTCTTCCATCTAATTTCCCCAGCCAATTGCGAGGTACTTTGTAAACTGGCTTAAAAAGAAGGGAAAGAGAAAACAAGGCCTGCTTCAGCTCACCTTTTGCCTCTTTTGTTTAAGGTCACTGCTGAGGTTGGAAAGCTCCTGGGTGACCAGAAAGTAGACGCGATTCTCTGTGTGGCTGGAGGATGGGCCGGGGGCAATGCCAAATCCAAGTGTGAGTCTTTTTCCGAGTTAATTATTGCTTCTGCTCTGCTCTTTGTCTAGCTGACACGGCTCTGGTCTAGATGAGGCACCAGGCCAGCTGGTTTTCTGTTTGTCTCTTGGGATCCTTGCCCCAGCTCTGCCTCTTCATTTGATTTGTGATGATAGCAGTGGGTAATTTGTAGGGATTGACTACTCACAGTTCTGCGGGCTGGGAAGTCCAGAGCCGAAGTTCGGTGTCTAGTGAGAGTTTTCTTTCAGCATTATCCCATGGAGGAGGGTGGGCCATGAAGAGAGCCTGAGAACCGGGTAGGTGGGGGCTGACAATGTGACATGTGTTACCACCTGTTCCTTTCCAGTCTCTGGAATGGCTAGAGGGCTAACGCAGCTGTGAAATGGTTGCTGTTCCAGCTCTCTTTACAGACTCTTAAAGGCTCTCATTAACTTCATCCATGAAAATGTAACTCTGTAAAAACCCTCTTTATGGCCGTAGGGTGATCGTTGCATGGATTTTTATCAGGGGTAGAAGCCAGAACAGGGATAGAAGTTCCTTTTATAAATCTAACAGTCTTCATAAAGTATAACCATTTTTGAAGCCATGTCAATCTGGTGAGTCTGTTGACCCCAGGTTTATTTGCTAAAATTTATTGGCTGAAAATTTGGCAGTTAGCATATGAGGAAGCTGAGACCCAGGGGACAGCATGACCTGTGTTTAAACCTGTGCCTCTGACCACTGAGGTCTGTTCTGTTTTTGTTAGACCTCCTTGGTAGACCAGCAGGGCCTGGAGGGCTTCTTCTTGTGCAGGGCAGTGTGAGTTGAGTTGAGCTTGCCTTCTGGGTTCTTCTCTGGGAATGATGAGCCTGCATTTTTTTGCCCTTTCCCCAGCACTCTTTAAAAACTGTGACCTGATGTGGAAGCAGAGTATGTGGACATCCACTATCTCCAGCCACTTGGCCACAAAGCACCTGAAGGAAGGAGGCCTCTTGACCCTGGCTGGGGCCAAAGCTGCCTTGGATGGGACTCCTGGTAAGCCTTCATTTTGGGCAGTGTGAATTCTGCTGGGGCTACTGCATATATCTTGGGTTGAGGAGGTGCAGTTCCTTCCTGCCCTCAAGAGCTTTCCTATTGGATAGATTTAATTTCTCTTGTGCCAGAGTCGTCTCATGGGGAGCAGTCATAATCTCCTCGTTTGCATTTGTCCCAGCTCATGGTACTGTAATTTGGCACCCGTCTGGTTTATGATCTGTGATCAATAGAGGGATAAACAGTAAACTGGATGTAGATTAGTTACCACTCACATCTTACCATTACATTGTAATCATGGGCCCCAGGGAAATATTTTGGCAGGCTGATTCTCGACCCTGATTCTCTGGTCAAATGTCTGCCACAGTTTCTTTAGTTGTAAAACAATGACAATATTACTTAACTTAAGAGTAACCACAGAGTTGTTGACACATAGATAGTGCCCACCACATGGTAGGTCTTACAGTATTCACATCCTATTATTATATATACTTTCCACTTCACGTTTATTTTTGTTGAATCATGGTGTAGGCATCATTGTTACCTTTTCAATTCATTGGTTAGAAAAACAAAATTTGGAGAGTTAAATAAATTGTCCAGATGTATTTAATGAATCTGTAGTGAATATACTTTGAACCAAACCCCTGATCAGTTGTAAATTGTGAACTGTTTCCACTCCACCATGAAGACTCTTTCCTTTGCATTTCTTATCCCTGTATTCTTTTGCTGGGCCTGCCATGCCTTGGCTTACTCACTTAACAGACACATGTTTCCTAATGATTCTAGAGGCGAGATGTCTAAGATCAGGATGTTGGTGTGGTTGGTTTCGAGGCCTTACTCATTGGCTTGTAGATGGCTGCCTTGTTGTATCCTAGATGATCATCCCTCTGTTTGTCTGGGTCCCAAGTTCTACCCCTGAGAAGCACATTGGTCCTTCTAGATTAGGGTTGCACCCTAATGATCTCATTTTAACTTAATTACCACTTTAAAGACCTTGTCTCTAAATACAGTAACTTTCTGAATTATTGGGAGATTATGACAACATATAAATTTGGGGAGCGGGGTGCATTTTATGTCATACATTCATTTAGGGCCAAGGCTAAAGGGACTTAAGTAAGGGCCACAGAGGGTGGGCACTAAGTCCCATGCATACTACCTAGCTTTAAGAGGCACGCTTCTTTGAATGTGAGTGGTAGAGATCTTGGGGCACCTTCTCAGTTTTAATGTAACTCACCTGAACCGTGAGGCTCTTGCTAATTAGTAATTTCTTGCTGCTCATCTCATTTCGTAGAGCATAAGATCTAACAGGTCTGTGGCTGTTGCAATAATTAAAACTGTGTAAATGTTAGATGTCTGTCTGGTTCAGAGCTGGTTTTTATTAAAGGTGACAGAGGGCAGAGGCACTAGAAAGTAAACAGAGAAATGAGTAATAGGTTGACATTTCAAAAACAAAACCCCAGCATTGAAAGACTCATTTTTTAAAGGACAAAGCAGGCTCCCGTTTCCTTCGGTTTACAAGTACAGATGGTTCCACATGATGGTTCATCTTAATGATCCTTCTGCTCTGCAGCCATTCTGTGCTGTGGTTGGAAGCCACTCTTGAGGGACTCTATGATCACGTTACAAGTTGGAAGAAAGTGTCCAGCATAGTTATAGGTGCTTTTTATATATTTTGCAAATGATCTCACATCTGTGCTGTTCTGTTGAATTAAGCCATGGGTTGCTGGTTGCTCATTTCTTTCCTCCCAAAACTTTTCGGCCTTCACAGTGTTGGAATGAAAAGGTAGAGAGCGCCCTGTACTGTTGTGCTGAGTTGTATTTTTAAACCACCATTGGCTTAGGTGAAGGATGGTGAAATACTCCTCTAAGTAGCTTCTTGAGACCTTGACCCTCTTTGGCAATCAGCGTTGTTGCTGAAGCTGGTCAGTGATTGGTCCCGGGACTGGGCCGTGAATCCCACCTCCCTGGACTTAGGTTGCCCCTTCAGCTATTGAACTTGCGGGCCTTCCATGACAACAGCATCACTGACTTGAGTTAGCAGAGCCTCAGTGAGTTGTGGGGGGGGTGGGGGGAGGAAGCCTGAGGCAGCCTATGCGCTGATGTCAAGATGTGCTCAATTGGATGCCCTGAATATATGAAACTGTTAATGCCCAGTACACCTTGGTCAATTACCATCTAAGCAGATATCCTGGACAACTCAAGGGCAGAAAATGAGAGAGTAGAGAAGAGTCTGTCCTGGAAACAGTCTGTGGAGGAGCTGATGTGACCAAGGGCCCAGAGTCTGTTGAATAGAACTTAAGGGAGAAAACGGGATGGCAGTGTATTATTTTCATTCATGTACTTTTTATTAGCTTGTTTTAACCAGTACATGTAGGAAACATTCACACGGTGCTTCAAGGTACACATTTAATAGGGAGACTGTCACCTGCTCAAGTGCCCAATCCCTACGGCACTCTCTAGGTACAGTCGGTCACAGACCTCAGACATCCTTTTGGAAGTATTCTGTGTGTATTCTTGTGTGCATCCACACCATGCTACTGTTTCCATCCAGATATTTGTATATTAGAGAGGGCTTCATCCTGTGTAGCCTGGAATGAGTTTGAACTTACACTCCAATTGCTAGGATGGCAGGTGTGTGCCACCATGACCGTCACATTCATATGAATAAAAAATTTATTGAGGGTTGGGGAGATGGGCTTTGTGGTAAAGGCACTTGCCACCAAGCCTGATGACCAGAATTTGATCCCTGGGACTCACGTGGTGGATGGAGAGAAGCAACTTCCACAAGCTATCTTTTGATTTCCATACATGTGCTATGGTATGTGCACACATGCCCAATCATACATACATACATACATACATACATACAAAATAAATAAATAAACAAACAAATAAATAAATGTAACTTAAAAAATGTATTGAATACCTCTTTCTGAGGCTGGACATGGTAGCTCATGGCAGTAATCCATAGGCAGAGGTAGAGTTGCTGTAAGTTTGAGGCCAAGCCTAGTCTGTGTGGCTGGTTCTTGTCTAGCCAGGGCTATATAAGAACCTGTCTCAAAAAACAGAGGCTGGAGAGATGGTTCAGTGGTTTAAGCACATGATGCTCTTGCAGAGGACCTGAGCTGGGTTCCCAGCACTCACATCAGGAAGCTCACAACCACCTCTAACTCCAGTTCCAGGGGAACTGATGCCTTGGGGCTCCAGGGCTACCTGCACTCATGTGTAGGGATGACTGTGGCTGGGAGGGCTGCTGATTCTCCTTGACTCACAATGCTGAGGAATCATTGTGTGTCCTTTGCCATGACTTTCAACTTGGATCCTGGGTTTCACCCTTGGAGTCAGGGAGCTGCCTTGCATATTCATATGCTTAGCACTGAATTCAGGGATTCATGCTCAGAGGAGTTTGGTGCCTAGAAGCAAGGAGTCCTTTTTAAGCACTAGCCTTTCTAGGCAGCAGAATGATGGCGATGGGCATGAAGATCATAGAGAAATAATGTCAAGGTCAGAGTTATAACAGACAGCCATGTCAGAACACACAGTCTGCTGCTCTGCATGTTGGATAAAGAAGGGAATGCCCACAATCCAATGGACAGTAGATTTCTGCACCACAGTGTGAATAACTGCACTAGTGAGGAACAGGAGGGAGAGTGGGAAAACACCTTCCTTTATGCTCCTGGGCAGGCAGCTGAGTCAAGCCAGTCCTATGCCAAGCCGTGTCCTCATCAGCTCAGTAGTCCCTCACACCACCTGACCTCTGTGGCCTCCCTGGCTTTTCCTGGCTGATTTCTGGTCCTCAGTGCAGCCTCGTTGATGGGTTAGGTGTACACGTGAACAAGCAAGGCTAGAGAATCTGTGACTATTTCAGTCATCAGGAAAACAGGTGTGAGAGCCCCACTTTTGAAGTGCCCAGTCTAGGACCTTTTGTACTTCTCCATGCCACCTGAAGAAGTGGAATGTCTGTTGGCAGAATGCCCTTTAAAAACCTGCATTTGTGGGAACTGGCCAGAGGCCACACCCACGCCCACCCATCCCGTCACCTTTCTCTGGTTGCTGTTATTTTGGTAGGGCTAGTGAGGGTGCCTGGCTTGGAGGATGCCAGGTATGGCTGTGGCTAAAGTCTTAAGGGAACAGAAAGCAGCGGAGATTGCACCTAATGTCTGTGTAACCAACTGTTTTCTTCACTTTCCCAGGGATGATCGGCTACGGCATGGCCAAGGGCGCCGTCCATCAGCTCTGCCAGAGCCTTGCAGGGAAGAACAGTGGCATGCCCCCCGGGGCTGCTGCCATTGCTGTGCTCCCGTAGGTGCTCAGGAGGTCCCATTGCTCACACCCTGCCCGCTGCTGAGTGTCGACATTTTGAGAGTCTCTTTCTGTCGTGCTTTGAGTGTGTGTCACCAAAGGCCCTCGAGCGCCTGCCTTACTGTATTCCTGTCACTGTACACAGTGCCCTAGACTAGGTATTTTATAAGCCACAGAATTGTACTGATTGCAGTTATATGGATTGGAAAGTCTAAGTTGAGGATGCCAGCAGGGTAGGTGTCTGCTGAGGGCTTGTTCCTGTAGAGCAGTGGTTCTCAACCTTCCTAGTGCTTTGACCCTTTAATATAGTTCCTCATCTATTAGTTCCTGATCCCCAACCATAATTTTTTGTTGCTACTTCCTAACTCTAATTTTGCTACTGTTATGAATCATAATGTAAATATCTGTATTTTCTGATCAGTTTTCACAGGGGTTTTAGACGACCCCTGAGAAAGGGTTGTTTGGTCCCCAAAGGGGTTTCTACCCACAGGTTGAGAACTGCTGCTGTAGATGGTACCTTTTCTGCTAGCATATGGTAGAAGGGCAAACAGGCTTCCTCAGCCCCCTTCTACAAGTGTCCCGGTCCATCTCTGGGGCCACACCCCCGACCTGATTACCTCCTACAGACCCTACTCCTGTTACACTGCAGACTGGGTCTCAGCCAAGACTCTGGGCTGGGAGGTCCAGTCAGCCCATGACAGTATTTCAGGGTTTTGATGATCTGTCTTGAGGGATGTGCCTATCTTTTTTGCCTCTTTCGTGTTTTCTTTTCTTCTCTACTCCTACTTTTAAAGTGTCTACACACTTTATTTTACTTTATATAGTTTTTTCTGTCTTCACATTGTTATAAAGCCAGTGTGTGTGTGTTGTGTGCATGTGTGTGTGTGTGTGTGTGTGTGTGTGTGTGTGTGTGTGTGTTTGTGTAGCCAGGCATGGGCAGCAGTGTGGGGGAAATGAGGTAGGAGATCATGGGAATCTATGGGGACATTTCTAACTGACCAGGAAGCAAATCCCTACTCAGCTGTCTCAGGCAGAAGTTGCTGCCTTGGACATGGCATGTTCTTTCTCAATGCCTCTTGCTTCCGGTTTGTGAAGGGCCCTGGGGCAGCTCAGGGACTAGCTAGCTTTCCAGTCTTTCACTTATGAGGTTTTATGACTGAGCTGCCTCCCGGCTGTTTTAACTGATATCTGAGGCCCAAATGTTTTGTACCATTTTGTATTCTCTTCTTGAAAATCCTAAGTTTCTTGGAAGGCAGCCATATACTTAAAAATAATACTTTACAATTTTGATATTTTGAGGAATATTATTTCACATAAATCCTTAGAAATGAGCCTGCCGCATTTTAGAGTGTACCCACGGACTTAATAAAGTACTTGCCTTTGATAAAGGCTGTATTTGACATAAAGGTAAAATGTGACTCTCCCTGTTTTGTTCTTGTCTGCCCTAGTGTGAGTCACAAAGAGCCTTATTGGATTTCCCTTAGATATGATTTTTGTTAATGTGGACAGCTTGCCAGTCTCTGATTATCCTGTCTGATCTCTCCATGTAAATGTCGTACTCAGTACCAGAGGCTCCCAGTGCTGATGCTGTGTTTGTCTCTTCCTGGTTGAGAACTGACTCCTGTTATTACAAAGCCAGTGCCCAAATGACACACTGATCTCTGCACTGCAGGGTTACCCTGGATACGCCAATGAACAGGAAATCAATGCCCGAGGCAGACTTCAGCTCCTGGACACCCTTAGAGTTCCTGGTTGAGTGAGTATCACAGGAGGGGTGGTGACTAAGCAGCCTCCAGTCTCTGTCCCCTGCCCTTTGGGGACTCTCAGTGATGCTGGGTAAGGTTCTGGGGCTCTGAGGTCCTGAGGCACCTGCATTTGGAGAAGAGCAATTGTGTGGAGGGATTACTAGCCCTGACATGAGTGCTGACTCCTTTTCTTCTCCCTGTCTGACGGAAGTGAGCATATTTGCAAACTGCCCTAGGACACAGGTGGCTTGCCTGTGTGTAACCAGGTCCATGGTGACGGTGTAGAGAAAGAAACGTGGTAGTGTGTGTTAAGCACTTGACAGTGTGGCTGACCCATAGCACGTGTGCAGTAATCCCCATCTGGTTATAAATCGGCAGTGTATCCAGGAGTAACTCTGAGGCAGGAAGACAGGGAGGAAGCCTCAGTCATATATCTCAGTCAATGCTGACCTACAGATGTGTGGTCTTCATTTACAAAATCCTACTCAGCTGTCAGTGAACCTGGAGACAGTTTGAAAGCTCATTGGAGGAGGAGTTGGTTTTACTGTTTGGTGTTTCTTTCACGCAATTCCTTAAAGCCTCTATTGAATAAGTCTGGGTTCAATGGATACCTATCACAGCCAAGTGTTGTCTTGGCGTGGGATGGCTAGGTCACAAGTCCCTGCAGGAGACCTTCCCCATAGTGCCATTGTCATAGCTGCTTTGTGTGTGTGTGTGCACGCGCACGTGCCTGCATGCATTGGAAGTCAGAGGTGATTGACATCAAGTGTCTCCTTTAGCCATTTTCCATATTTTTTAAAAGATGTGTTTTATTTTTAATTATGTGTGTGTGTTTGTGTCTGATTGTGGGTATGTGCCCATGAGTGCAGGTGTTGGAAGAGACCAGAGGCTTGAGGTCCCTGGAGCTGGAGTTATAGAGGGTTGTGAGCTGCCTGATGTGCATGCTGGGAACTGAACTCGAGTCCTCTACAAAAACAGTATGCATTCTTAACCACTGAGACATCTATCTCTCTATCCCTTCCACCTCACGTTATGAGACAGTCTTCCACTGAACCGGAAACTCACTGTTTGTGCCATACTGGCTGGCACACAAACACCAGAGAGCTTCTCGCCTCTGCCTCCCCAGCGCTGGGATTATAGGCATGGATAGCTGTGCCTGACTTTTTTTTATGTGAGTTCTGGAGATCTAAATTAGAGCCCCAGGCTTTTGTGACAAGTACTCTACTGAGTGAGGCATCTCCTCCGCTCACGCATCCTGTTTCTTTAGTTAACCCTCCTAGAAAATTATTTTTATGTGACTGAGCATCCTGCCCAAAGACTAGCAAACCTAGGCTCTTATTTAGGCAGTATGGCTGCGGGCCTGTGGGCCTGCTAACTACACAGGGAGCTGGGAGTCATGCTTTAATGCTTGATTGAAAAAGGGAGTTGCAGAAGACACCATGATTTGATTTGTGATTGCTTTCACAGTTCTCCTTAAAGGCCAATGTTCCCACAAGGCTTGAGTGACATATTAACCTAGAATCTAGACTCTGGACCCAACATTGAGGCTCCTGGGCCTGAGTTGATGCCCATGCACAGGTCCCCCGACAAGGGTTGTCAGGCACCCTTTCCTCTAGCAATCACTTTACCAACTTGAAACTCACTTGACAAGTTAGAGCGAAGTTTGTTTGAAATGCTTGTGAGTACATGACTTTCTTTACCCGTGATGGTAAGCATGCCTTCTCTGTCATCCACTCCCCACTGCTGGAGAGGCCAAAGGCAGGACAGGCATGTGTGATGAATACAGAAACCCTTTGTCTCTCTCAAAGACACCCAGCTTGACTCTAGTCCAGAGATGGGACCATGACCAGTGACAGTATTTCAGGCTGTTTTAGCAATGCTTTGGGTTTGAAGACTATACACTTTCTTGGCTTGTACAATATCCAGAGAAGGAGCCTAAGTGTCTGGCAGCTGACTGTCAAGTCTAGTCCACAGGGTTGCACATTGGGACCACAGAGCATCCTAAGAGTTGAGAGCTTTCCAGGTAGAGGTCTGAAATCCTGGCAGTGGATCCTCAGGTGGATGGTACTCAAGGGTACTCAAGGGTACTCAAATGTAAATGCGTCACTGTTAGATGCTGTTACCTGCTTGTTGCTGTTTCTTGGAAATTTTATGCCTTTTTTCTCCCTGGTTTTGAAACTTCATAAACAGGGTCTCCCTTTGTTCCACAGAGGCTTCATTACCCCTCTCCACAAACAGCTAGTTGTTTTAAGTCCTGGTATATTCTACTGTAACAGCCTGCTTTTTTTGTGTCTTGCCTTGGGTATCCCACACATGTTTGTTAAAATTAAAGAAGGAATTTGTATTCTTTTAAACTTGAGAAGGAATAAAGCATAAACTGGTTTTCTTTATCTGTGGGTTCTCATGCACCAATTCAACCAGCTTCACTCAAAACCACTGAAAGAAATGCTTCTGTACTAAGTAGGTGGAGACCCCCTTTGTCGTTTTCCTAAAGACAGTGCAGTTTAACAGTTGCTTATTATGTAGGATGTGTGGTGTGAATTATGTCAGTAATCTGGGGGCGATTTGGGGAGTATATAAAAAATGTATGTGGGTTATATGCAGATAGCATACCCCTTACTTAAAGTGTTTGAGTGACCTTGGATGTTGGGGTTCTTGGCAGTCTAGACCTCCATAGGTACTCAGGGATGCCTGTATGGTACATTTATCTGTCTCTTACAGTTAATCATCTAAAATCCGTTTTATTAGTTAAAAATCATACTACTGTGTTGTGAAGCATTTTGACCACGTAGAAAAGGACAAAAGTGAAAGCTATGATTACATTAATTCCTGGTCAGGCACTGAGCTCTTTGGGGACCTGTTTATATATTCCTGATGTCTAATGGCTTTCTCATAGCTCCCCCTACAAATGATCTTTCACACCCAAGGCCCCCAGTGTGAATATTAGCATGAACCCAGAGTTTTGTTTTAAGAATGTAAAATATCTCTTCTTATTCTAGAACCTTCCATGACTGGATCACTGGGAATAAACGGCCGAACTCAGGAAGCCTAATCCAGGTGGTAACCACAGAAGGGAAGACAGAGCTTACTCCAGCGTATTTTTAAGCCTTATCTCAGTGCCTGGGAGAGCCCTCCCGAAACATCACTAACCTGTGTGTGGCTGCATCTGGCCCCATGTTTTCTGTATTCCTGTTTGCGGTACGAGATAACCAGTCCTGTTTGTCTCTTCCATAGTGTTCCTTTGCTGTCCTGGGACTGTGTGGTGTTCATGGGAAATGGGCAGAGAGGCCTGTAGGTGGCACTATCAGTGCCGAGGGCCCAGGGAGGTATGTGGGCAGCCTGCGTCACGGCATCCTGGATTGCTCTGGAGACCCTCAATAGCCCTCTCATTTGTTGGCATTTGGGGTACTTTGAAGTCCAGCCTGTTTTTGAATTCCATGTTGGTGCCATAGAGGTGATTTTTGTGGCCTGGAATTGAACTGTCTTGAAAATTCTTTAGTGATGTAAGCAAACCCAGCCGACTGTCATAATATCTTTTTGTGTCCTAGCCTAAGCTAAGTGTGCAGGAGAACCACCTGTGAGTATTTGGGGAGTTCTTCCTAATAAACACACTTCATGTCTTGTGTTGTCTTTTTTACTCAAGTCCTGACTTACATACAGTGGTCCTAGGAGAGTGGAACCATGAGGTATGGGGTCTCCTGGTGTCTTAAAGGAGGGTAGAGTTGATCTGAGACAAGCGTTTTCTGCATGGGAACGCAGGCTCCAGCCTGCCATGTGCACTTGACTAGAGGGTGGGATGGCTCTGTGAGGTCAGAAGCAACTCTCCATGTGACTGATTCACACTGTTCTGGCTAAGGAGTTGTGATGTAATCCAGTCTGGTTAATTTATAGCTGGGGAAACTGAGGCCCAGAGAGATAATTAGCATTATCATTGCTGCTAGCACCTGCATAAGGCCAGAATCCCATCACCAGATGGCCGCCAGTTATAAAGACCTTCAGTCTGCTTTCTCTTCCATCAAGTGACACACCACCAGCCATTTTAAGGCGAGGGCTTCAGCTTTTGGGACACAACTCTGGTGTACAGCCATCACCTCTAGTTCCAAAGTATTTTCGTTGGCAAAGTCAAATCCAGGGCTCCTAAGCAGTTCTCAGTGCTCCCTCCCTCTGGCTCCTGCCTCCTCTCATCGGCATCTGTTTCAGTGGACTTTTCTCTTCTGGGTATTTCATAACACCTGACATCTTGTCTGGCTCACACATGGCATGGTCTCCGCACCCTCCCTCTCTAGACTGAGTATGAGTACATGTCTCCTGGTGATGGAGGAGTAAGAGTCCCTTGTATCAGGAGACATTTTGTTCATCCAGTTGACACGTGGATACACTCTTGGGCTCACTCCTCCTTCGGGCTGTTGTAACATGTACTGTAAACATTCCTATTCAAGTGCTTGCGTGTCTGTCTTCATTCTGCAGGCAAGCAAGAGGGACTAGAGCAGCAGCGAGGAAATAAGCTGGTAACTGGCACCAAAGTTATGTGCAGATGATCAAGGGTCGAGTTTGCTAAAATATAGAGAGGGGCTGAAGAGATGGCTCAGCGGTTAAGAGCACTGGCTGCTCTTTTCAGAGGACCTGGGTTTGATTCCCAACACTCACATGGTGCCTCACAACTACCAGTAACTCCACTACCAGGGGGTCTGATGGCTTCTGTGGGCACCAGGTACACATGGTGCACAGATGTACATGCTGACAACACACCCATACACATAGAAGTGAACTTTAAAAAAAAAAAGTAATGTAAATGACATTAGTCCATCCATCTTGTGCTACTGCAATGGAAATCCTGGAGGCTGGTAACAACAACAACAAAAAAAGGTTCACGTTGCTTGCATTTACTGGAGAGTGGGTAACTCTAAAGAAAATAGGTTTATATTGCTCACATTTCAAGAGGCTCAAGGGCCCACATGTGATGAGGGGTTAAGTTTTAGCACATCAACAGGGAGCACAAATCATATCCACACAATAGCAGACACTGATGGGAGGAGCCAGGCAGGGAGGAGCCAGGCAGGGAGGAGCCAGGCAGGGAGGAGCCAGGGAGAAGAGCCAAGGCTGCAGTATCCTGAGGCTAAAGAACATGTGCAAGGAGAGCTGGACGGGGATGTTAAATACTGCTGAGAAGAAAAATGAGAACTAGCTGCTGGCCACCGGCACTGTGATCTGGAAGAGAGGCTTCAGTAGAGCAGCCGTCGTGGGAAGAGGAGTGAGCCTTAGTATGGGTGGAGAGGAATTGCTGTACAGACACCGCTAACTCACACCTGGTGGAGTCTTGTGAATTTAGTCCTTGAATATAATCTAGAAGGGTCTACCAGGTTTTGGCTCTGCTTTGTTCTCATAGGTAGGCTCTATTGCTAAAGTTTATTGAGGAGCTGGTCTGATACATGGACTTTGAATTCTGGCTTCCTGGGTTTTCAGGTTCCCTCAGCTTGTCTGGGCTGTGTGCCCCTAGGTGCTCGTTTTTTTAGCCAGATGGTTCTCAAAATGGGTTTTGCTGGCTGGGAGGTCAGCCTGCATGTTTCTGGAAGCCGGGCTTGTTCACTGCTTCTGGGAATGATCAGAGCTTCATGGCATGGCTGGAGAGTGCTAGGAAGGCAACCTGTTGTGGTCTGTTCCAGTAAGCAATTGAGACCTTTTCTTTGCAGTTTTGAGCTTGAGTTCAACTCACCCACAGCAATGGGCTAGAGAAACAGGGAGTCTGAAGAGGTCAGCCTGCATGGGACTCAGTTCTTCCACTTATTTCTGTACAACCCTGAACGTCTGCATTTATCTCTCATATCTCAGTCATAGGATGAGGTCATAATGTTCTCCAAGGATGAAACAAATATACACTAAGGGCCTGATGTATTTAAGTGCTCAGAAAAAAGCCCGTCCATGTGACAGTATGTATCAACAACTCATTTTATGTGTGTGTGTGTGAGTACACATGTATGAGCAGGTATATGAGCATGTGTGCACGCATATGGAAACCAGAGATCAATCTCAGATATTATTCTACCATCTACTTTGTTTTCAGAGACAGGTCTTTCACTGGGACCCAGGGTTCACTCATAGGGCTAGGCTGGCTGGCGAGTGAGCCCCAGGATCCGCCTGTCTCCACCTCCCCAGCGCTGGGATCAAAAGTGTGCACCATGGTGTTCTGCTTTTCACATGGGTGCAGGGGATTGAACTCAGGTCTTCTTGATTCTGTGACAAGCACTTTATTGACTGAGCTATCTCATAGTTTTAGCATTTTTATTGTTTTTAGTTAGTATATAAAACAATGGATTTCATGACACATGCATGTCCTTGCACCTTGCTCATACTTCCCACCACTCTCACTGCTTCTTATCAACTGGGACTTCCCTTCAGTAGTACCCTTCTATTTTCATGTCATATGCATGTGTATATGTTATATGCACACATATATAATATACACAGACACATATAAGTCAGTCTATATTCTGTATATGAGAGAAAGTGTGAATACATTCTACCTTAAGGTCTTGTCCCCTCCCTCCTTATAGTACCCCTTCTGCTTTGGTATCGTGTATATTAATTCATACTCATATCTAGTTCCCCATATGGAAGAAAACACTTGTTCATTTCATCTCTATTTTATTGATTCCTTACCTAACCTCTGTTGTTTCTTTGCACACACTACTTTGAGTTTGTCTTGTTCTTGTTTATAAGAAACCATGAGGTGCATCATTACATTATTCTTTGTTATTTTTAATGTAACCACATCTCTAACTTTATAGAACTACCTTTGCTGTCAGTGATTCACAATTTTTTCCAAATAATATCTCATATGGATGTATCACCTCCACTTAGCAGCTAGTGGACATTTGAATTCCTTTAGCCTTTTGGCCATTATGAAGTGTGCTATGAGTATTCATGGGCGAACTTATTTGTATGTTTTCATTTTGTTGCATATGTGCCAATGAATGTAATTTCTGAATATGAGATGGTTAAGTCTGTGTTTATTTTTGCAGTTGCCACAGTTTTCCAAACCAGTGCCACGGTGATTTGACTTTTCTGTTGGAAATGCAAAATGGTTCCAGTTGCACCACACACTAGACTTAACATGTTATTGTCTGTCATTTTGGTTATGGTTATTCTGGTGGATGTCATATGTTCTCTCACTGTGCTTTTGATTTGTATTTCCCTCGCTGATGATACTATCTTTTCATGTGCTTGGTGGCCATTTGTATGTATTCTTTGGTGAAATGTCCGTTTTGCTTCTTTGCCCATTTTCAGTTATGTTACTTTTTATTGTATAATTGTCAGGAGCTGGGGTGGGAACCCTGGTGGAAGATGGAGGGAGAGGGGTGGAGATGAAGTGTCCTGTTCAGGTACATCTCAAGGGTAGTGAGTCCTGCCGTGGTGGTGTCTCTGTAGCCCCCGCTCCTACTGGCCAGCCGCTTCATCAGAATCAGCTCTCTGGTGTGTCTACTCTTCCTTCTGACTCTCAGCCATGAGGTAGTGGGGGCTTCTGACCATGGCTAAATGTGGTTACGCAATCTCATTTGGATTCCAGGTTTTTCCGTTACTAATATGACTCACATTAAATTCTGCTGGCATGTGTTCAGGCTGGTCAGTGAAATAAGAAGGTTAATATCCCCTGTCTGGGGGCTCTGGGTTAATTTCTGGAAAGAGGATTATGGGCAGATGATTTTCTAGAATATTCTTAGCATTAAGAGATCATCTGTGGGGCCTAAGGACGCTCCTGGGTTAAATGAGTCCCTTTCCTAAGTTTCTCAAGAAACCGGAGTCTATGCTTTAATTTCCTCAGTTTTCTGGATGTATTGTTTATTTCTGGGGGAATTTTATACTATATTTTTTCCAAATTATTTTTGTCCCTGGATAGGTAATATGGGCTGTGAATCAAAATGAAAGAAAAAAACAGAATGTTCCATCTCATCCGTTTCCTCAGAACCGTGCACTGGAACAGTGAGGTAGCAGCAGTGAGAGCTGCCAGGTTCGGGTGGTTTGTATTTTAGTGCATGTGCGAAGGCCATTTAACAGAACTTCTTCGGGAAGTAATCCAGTGGTCTCCATCAGTACTCTAAGAACTTTACATCATCTGAGCTAATAATTCCACTAAATGTTAGATAAGAACCAGATACCAGGACAGAAACTGGTAGCAAATGTAATTCCTATGTTATATATTGCTGAAGTCTTGGAAATAACCCTGAAGACCCACAGTCGAACCGTGTTAAATAATCACCATATTAACATTTCTCTAACATTTACCTGTTGTGGCCACGATCTCCTTTGTGAGGCTTCTCTAGTCTTCACAACTCCATGGAGCAAACGTTCCTCTGCCTATTTTGCCGAGGAGAGTAAGGTGTAGAGAATGACTGCCTAACATCACACACTACAATGTAGCAAAAGCTAGCATTTGGATGGGCTTTCAGGGCCCTGCACTCTGTCAGACTGCAAATAAGCAGTGCAATTAATTAGCACACCTGTGCTAATAATAAACACGATGGTGCTATTAAAAAAATCTCAGTTTGAAGGAGAAATAGATGAGATCTACATGAGCAAACTAGGGGTGAGGAGGGTAATGGAGGACAAGGAATGGGGGATGAGAACATATGGGAACGAGAGGTTCGAGCTGGAACAGGGACAGAGTGGGAGAGCAAGGAAAGAGATACCATGATAAATGAAGACATCATGGGAATAGGGAAAAACAGGGTGCTAGGGAAGCTCCCAGGAATCCACAAGGATGACCCCACCTTAGACTACTGGCAATAGTTGGGAGGGTACCTGAACTGGCCTACTCCAGTGATCAGATTAGTGAATACCCTGTCATCATAGAGCCTTCATCCAAGTAACTGATGGAAGCAGATGCAGAGATGCATGGCCAGGTCCTAGGTGGAGCTCCAGGAGTCCAATCGATGAGAGAGAGGAGGGATTCTATGAGCAGGGGACATTGAGATCATGATGGGAAAACCTACAGAGACAGCTTGCCAAACTAGTGGAAATGCATGAACTGTGGACCAATAGCTGTGGAGCCCCCATGGTACTGGACTAGGCCCTCTGGATAGGTGAGACAGTTGTTTAGCTTGAACTGTTTAGGGGGTCTCCAGGCAATGGGATTGGGATCCATCCCTGGTGCGTGAGCGGGCTTTTTGGAGCCCAGTGCCTATGATGGGACACCTTGTGCAGCCTTCCCCTTGGGAGACCTTGCATTGGAGGAGGTGAGAATGGGGGATGGTTTCGGGGGGAGACTGGGGGTAGAAGGAGGGAGGAGAGGAGGATCTGTGGTTGATATGTAAAAAGAATAGAAATTTTTTTTTCTTTTTTTTTTTTTTTTTATCTTTTTGGTTTTTCGAGACAGGGTTTCTCTGTGTAGCTTTGTGCCTCTCCTGGAACTCACTTTGTAGACCAGGCTGGCCTCAAACTCACAGATCCACCTGCCTCTGCCTCCTGAGTGATGGAATTAAAGGCGTGCGCCACCACCACCCGGCTATAGAAAATTTCTTAATAATAATAAAAAATCTCAGTTTGAAATAATCCTTAGTGATATGAGAAAGTCTTCATAGCATAATGTTGTATGGTGCACATGTGGTAGGTGATGTCATCCCAATTACACTAAAACATGTTGTCACGAAGACAGTTTTGAAGATTTCACCATCACTGAAACCATTGCTGTTCTGTTATGGCTAGTGTGTCAGGGTTTAACTGGCAGTGTTCTGAGAATTTGTGAGTCTATAACATAATTGTGAAACAATGTGTATGCATTGGTAGAAAAAGCTAGTTGGAAATGTACCAATATCAACTAGAGCTAGGTCTTTATAATTATTTTTTCTTACATGCCAGTCTGTGAGTGCTTATTAAGTGAGTGCAGTGCCTGCAGAGGCCAGAAGAGGGCACCAGATCACCCTGGAGCAGGAGTTACAGACAGAAGAGAGCAGGAATCGAACTTGAGAGTTTTTTTTTTCTTGGTTTTTTGAGACAGGGTTTCTCTGTGTAGCTTTGCGCCTCTCCTGGAACTCACTTGGTAGCCCAGGCTGGCCTCGAACTCACAAAGATCCGCCTGGCTCTGCCTCCCGAGTGCTGGGATTAAAGGCGTGCGCCACCACCGCCCGGCTCATGCAGAAGTTTAAAACACTGACAGGAAGCCCCATGACTGTCTGCTGATCCAGGTAACTGGGAGGTTGGGGCGGGGGATGATGACCTCATCGACTGCCTAGTACTGACGCAACTTGATAAAGTGAAGTGCGTTGGCTCCCCTGCCTCCCCCATTTTTCTCTTCTTGGGTTCCATGCCCCCAGCCCTTCTGCCTCAGACCATTTCCCCAATAAACCAGTGCCCGAAAACCTTATCTCTAGTGTTCCCTTTGAAGGGTGGGTGCAGGGTAAACTATTTTAAAACTCTACCACTGTCTTTGTTAAATTATACGTGTGCTAAGTTTTTTTTTTAATTCTTGTCTCTTCAGACTGCAGAGACCACCTCATCAGTTATGTGGTGGATCATAAGTGATTAGTCCAGAAGCAGAAAGTTCATGAGTCTGTAAGTAGTCAACAGGGTGGGCACTGGGGGCCGTGACCTTCCTGAGGAGATTTCTGGTTACTCTCCCTTGACGCTACAACAACCCTAGGCAGCAGATGTCATTATTGCCCTATTTCACACATGAGGAACAGAGCAAGAGAGATTAGTTCACTTACCTGGGGTCTCACTGCTTTGGGAATGAAGTGGATTAATTCTGAACTCTAGTCGATTCCCAAGTTTACCTCATCTGTTTAATTACCCAGGCACCTTGGAGGAGTCTTCTGGGAGAATACAGGCAGTGGAAAGGCAGCGTGAGGGGACCACTCAGGAGGCAGGTGACACATCATGAAATGTGTCTGGCTCGTGATTGTTTTTTCACTTTATATTGATTCTTTGTGGATTTCACATTAAGCATCCCGATCCCACTCATCTCTTCATCCCCTGGCTGTGCCCTCTGCCCTTGCAACCTCCCCCACAAAGCAAATTTAAAAGTAAAACCAACCAACCAACCAACCAACCAACCAACCAACCAAAACCAAAGCAAAAACCAAACCAACCAAACAAAAAACAAATTAAAAAAAAATCTCAGTGTAGAAGCTGTAGTGTGGCCCAGTGAGTCACAGAGTGTACCTTTTAGACTAGACATCTTTACTTTTCATTGCAATGAGCCATTGGTCTGGTTCAAGGCCTCTGGCTTCTGCTACACCCTGATACTGGGCCCTCATTATCCTGGATATCCCATTGTCCTGTGTCCAGGAGATCCTGTAGCTTTGGATCTGCAGGTCTGGCCCCTTCCACACTCTAGCAGTACGTAGATGAGGTGAGTGCTGGGATGGGCTCCCTTGTAATCCTGGTTCTGGGCCTGGGTGGTAGCTGGGTTGGTCAGCCTGCCAGGTTTCCCTCATCATCACCACCTGGGCAAGCTCTCCAGCACCATCATCTGCCCCCTCATCTGCCATGTGATGGCAAAAAAAAATGCCTGCTGCAGGTGAGAGAGCTGGCCCCGCCCCTCACCAACTGCACACATGGGAGAGGGGGCCCTGGACCTCGATAGGGCAGCACACTAGCTGACCCTGTTGGGCTGGCAGGTGAGCCGGGCCTGTGGGCCTGAGAGCAGGAGAGCTGCCCCCGCCCCCTCTCGCACATGCCATGGGGTGGCAAGGGTAAGGGAAATATGCCCTCCTCTCTCTCACCCCTTGCCATCTGTGACAGGTGGGAGAGCTGCCCAAGGGGACATGAGAACGAGAGAGCTGCTCCTGCCCCTCACCAAGTACAGCAATCCAGAGAGCGGGCCCTGAACCTCGCCTGGACAAATCAGTAGAGTTGGCCCTGGTGGTGTGAGTGCGGATGAACCGGACCTGAGAGTGTGAGAGCAGGACAACTGTCCCCACTGCTCGCTGTCTGCTACACTGGGTGAGCTAGCCAGGGCTAGCGATTTTTATCTTGTAAGTCACAAGGCGTGCTGGATCACTGAAACCAAGAGCGTTTTGAAGGCTACATGCAGTTTGAAACATTTCCACAAGGGGGCAGGCATTGGCTACACTAGCACACAGGTGCTGGGGAGCCCAGTGAGAAACAAAGTTCCTATTCAAGCTCTATCTCTGCAGACCCAGGGTCGATAAGTCAGCTCACATGCTGGAGATCATTCCTGTGCCTGCTGCGTTTTTCTTGCCCCTGTGCCCTCCCATCACATTCCGTGTGTCTCCTTCCTTCACTGAAATGGAAATTGGTTGAAAGCGTAGTAAACGCTTCCATGTCTCAAAATAGGTGCTTCTAAACTAGCTTATCAGATACCCTGCAGATCAGACATTTACATTATGATTCATAGCACATTTACAGTTATGAAGTAGCAATGAAATGATTTTATGTGGGGGTCACCACAACTTGAGGAACTGTTTTAAAGGGTCCCAGCATTAGGAAGGTTGAGTACCACTCTTCTAAACCTTCACCCTTGCAGGTCCTTAAAGTCCAGTCCCTGAAAAAGAAAACAACACAGTACAGATAACAGTCACAGCCTCCACATCAGTGCACTCCTCCAGAACACGTCTCAACCCCAGAAACAGATCTGGCCCTCTGCTGTTTGTATCAGGATCCCTGGTATAGGGTCTGTCACTCTGCATACTTAGAAAATGGTTATCGCTCCAAGTTTAGGCTCAGCTAGTCAGGCTTGGTGCTGGGAGATTTTGCAGAAATTTCTCCTCTCCTCTCCCCTCTGTCAGAATTCTGCCCTCACTCCAGCTACATGACCTCACAGGCGCAGTTCAGGAGTTAAGCAGAGGGTCTTGCGTCTTACATCATCAGTATTCACTGATGACTACGTGAGTGTGGCATGGTCACGCAATCAGCCCATGCGTGGTATAGCTCCATAAGCTCGCTTCCCTGGGAGCCCTTAAAAAGCCTGATGCAGACCCCACCCTCTCTCTCTGCTCTACTCTCTCTCCCCTACCCCAAAATCTTTCCCTCTGCTCTCTGCACATGCTCCCCCACCCTTTCCTCCTAATAAAACTCTGAAACTAATACTGGGTTCTGTCGTGACCGTGACCTTTCTGCCGGTAACCAGCACCACAACCAGTGCTGCTTATCATTCATTTCACCCTCTCCTTCCCTCTCCCTCCCCAGTTCCCTCTCTGTCTCTGCTCAGACTTGTTATGTGGCCAAAGATGACCTCCACTATAACCTTGCCTTCCATTTCTCAATTGGTGAGATTACAAGTATGCCTGACCATATCCAGTTTTTGTGGTCCTGGGATGCAAACTGAGCTAATGTTGTGATGTTGTAGAAAGCATCCAGGGCCTTGTGCATGCTAGGCAAACTCTTCACACAGAACTATACCACCAGCTGAGCATATGCCATTTTTGACTAGTAATTTGAATGCATTAGAATATTTCTCACTTAAAGACAAAGTCTTCGAGCTCTGGGAAGTTTAATGAGCCATCATTTAAGTCACATTTTTGGACTTTCCCTTGGTGGTGTCTGTTGACTTATCATTGTACCACATGAGTATAATTCAGTGGTCCATGAGGAGAAGAGTGACATGCTAAGCAGCTGTTTTCAATGTCAGCTAAACCCAACACAAAGGAATGCAGAAAGAAACATGAGAATGGGGAAACAGGGTTGCTACTGCTGTTGCTGTCGGCCTCAGCTTCCTGGTCCACATACTTCTAGAGAATGAACGTGAGAGGGACATGCTTAGTGCCAGACACTGGCCTAGTGGTCTGTGATCTGCTCAGCCATGGCTGTCCTGGAGAGTCCTGGTGGCAGCAGGTCTGCCTGACCTGCATAGAGAAGGAAACAAAGAACCAAGAGTATCAAAGTGAGTCTAAGTTCAAGGCCAGCCACGGTGCGTGGGAGAGCCTGTGTAGAACTCTGGTTCCCTATCCTGAGGACCCAGACACTTTGTTCAGAGCTTTCTAAAGCAGGGTGCACACTGCCATTTGTATGACATTAGGGGCCAATGATAATAGAGTTAATAAAATGTTCATTTGATATGTATTATAAAAATACATAACAACTATGTCAAAGCCTTGGTTCTATGAGCATTGTTTGGATGAGTTTAAGTAGATAGTAAGTTAAAAATTGGATAAATTTATCTATTATATAAAGAGTATGTTCCATGAAGGATATCAGTTTCCTCTGGCTATAAAAGATGGCCACAAACTTAGTGCCTTGAAACAATACAAATTTATTACCTCACAGCTATGCAGGAGTGTCACCAGGGCTGGGTTCCTTCTGCCTTCCTTGGCTTGAGGTCTCTCCCTTATCTTATTTTGACCTCGACTTCTGTTGTCATGCTTCCTTTATTCTGGTTTAGACCATGTCTTGTGTGTGTGTGTGTGTGTGTGTGTGTGTGTGTGTGTGTGTGTGTGTGTGTATGTGTGGAAGACAGAGGTCAACCTTGGCTCTCATTTCTTAAGTGCTGTCCATCTTACAGGATCTTTCATTGCCAGTTAGTCTGGGCTGTATATTCAGATATCTATCTATCTATCTATCTATCTATCTATCTATCTATCTATCTATCTATCTATATGCAGGTAAGCTCTAAAGGTCTGCCAGCCTGCATAGTCCCAGAGCTGGGGCTACAAACACACACCACCACACCTTTACAACTTTTATTAAAATGTTTATTATTTTAGTTTATGTGCATTAGTGTTTTGAATGTCCATGTATCATGTGTATCCTAGAACTGGAGCTGTGGATGCTTGGGGGCTGGGAATCAAATCTGGATCCTCCGTAAGAACTACAAGTGCTCTTACCCACTGACCCATCTCTTCAGCCCCAACACACCCATGATGTTTTTAATGTCGGTTATGGGCTCAAACCCAGGCCCTCATGCTTGTATGAGAAGGGCTCCACCTACTAAGCCATCTCCTCAGCCTCTTGTCTTCTTTTTTATTTAGAGTTGTATTAAGTGCAACTGGCTGATTTGGAGTAATTTCACCATTTTAATCCTATTTTATTATATATTAAGATCTTATTTTGTGAAATAAGATCAGATACTCAGATTCTAGAACTTAGGCTCCCATTATCTATTGGGGGCATTATTGTATCCTGCAGTAGAGATGGATGAATATATGGGGATAATGCCAAGTGCAGGTTGGGAAATACCTCCTTACATCACACCTGCCTCCTTAAAGGCCGTTTTTGGGATTCACCACCACTTTTCTTGGGATCCTTGTGGATCCTTAGGCAGAGGAAGACTTCAGTATCTGAGAGTGTAATCACTTACTAGTGGTCATAGGTCATGCCATGAGATTCCCTTTGGAGAACTGGTGACCTGGAGTTTAACCTGGAAGTTAAGAGTATAAAGAGCTGGCCTGTCCACACAAAGGTTTGGGAAGAATTATAGTAAAGACAGCACTCAGCTTTGCTGAGGTGGAGCAAGACTGAATAATACTTAGGATGTTCATGATTTGTCTGGAGTGTTTTCATTTTTGCCAGGCAATGTTTCCTTTGCTTGGAAAGATATTTAGGGTGTGTGTGTGTGTGTGTGTGTGTGTGTGTGTGTGTGTGTGTGTGTGTGTGTGTGTCTATGCATACACACCATTATGTGTTTCAAAGAAATGACTGACTCCTACTGGCTAGAGCTTTTCCTCTCTGATCCCTTCCTCTCTCCAGTTAAGGGAAGGCTGATTTCTTTCTTTCTTTATTTTCTTTCTTTCTTTCTTTCTTTCTTTCTTTCTTTCTTTCTTTCTTTCTTTCTTTCTTTCTTTCTTTCTTTCTTTCTTCCTTCCTTCCTTCCTTCCTTCCTTCCTTCCTTCCTTCCTTCCTTCCTTTCTTTCTTTCTTTCTTTCTTTCTTTCTTTCTTTCTTTCTTTCTTTCTTTCTATCTTCCTTCCTTCCTTTCTTTTCTTTTCTTCTTCTTCTTCTTCTTCTTCTTCTTCTTCTTCTTCTTCTTCTTCTTCTTCTTCTCCTCCTCCTCCTCCTCCTCCTCCTCCTCCTCCTCCTCCTCCTCCTCCTTCTTCTTCTTCTTTTTTGGTTTTTTGGTTTTTCGAGACAGGGTCTCTCTGTGTAGTTTTGGTGCCTATCCTGGATCTCACTCTGTAGACCAGGCTGGCCTCCCAACTCACAGAGATCTGCCTGGCTCAGCCTCCCGAGTGCTGGGATTAAAGGCATGCACCACCACTGCCCAGCAGGAAGGCTGATTTCTATATCTGCATCTTGAGTGACAGAGAGCAGCACCCATGCTGAGAAGTGACACACACACAGGCAAGCTAGAGAGCAAACATCAGGGGAAATCCTGGCCTTCCTCACATGTAGGAATTCTTACCATGACCCCTTGGATCCACAGAGATTACACAGTGACCTTGAAAGGACCAGCTAGGATTTTAGTCAACTCTGTGTGACTCCAAGCGAGTTCTGCAATTTGTAACAAGGGTACTGGTGACTGCTCTTTGGGAACAGGCTAATCTCAAATCTTGCCAGAGCCTCAGCATTGTATCAAGTTGATCCTTCGGGGTCAAGGTGGGTAGGTGTTGCCTGATGGTGGTTTGGTGTGGAGAATGGCTTTTGATGGGCTCTCAAAGATCCACAAAAGCAGACACTGGAGTGGTAAAGACAACAGTGTGCTAGCATAATAGGTGGAAGAACCGAACGTGCAGAGTCAGCTGGATGTCTTAAAGGGAGGATGGAGGAGGAGGCAGGAGTCAGGGGGAGATCAGGAGAGTCCGAAAAGTGACGATTCACAAATGGTGGGATAGAGGACTTGGTCTCTGTGAAACCTATCTGGGTTTGCTAAGTGACACTTAATGAAGTCAGTCTCCTCCCTCCCACAGGGCTTGGGAGATGAGCCCTATCTGCAGAGACTCTCCAAACAGGCAACACATTCTTTAGGAAGCTTCCAGTTTCCTCCGGCAGGCACTTTAAGATGGTCAAGGGTCAGTCATCCTGAGGATGTAGCCTTGAGCTGTTAGAGACTATGTAAGTGACTTTTTTTTCAAGTCTTTATGGGCCAAGCTTAATATAAAGTCAGGAAAGACTTCAGAGCTTGGCTAGAGTGTAGTTAGGGAGAGAATCTTGGTCAGGGCTATCTTCAGTGTGATCCTGTACCAGGACCAAGAGTGTTCCTTAGTACACCATTGTGTCATAGTGGGAACAGGAGGCTATGACAACAAAGGTATCACTACCAAGGAAAATGCCAAAATTATATCTGTCTGTCTGTCTAATCTCTATCATCTATGAATTGATCTATATCTATAAATTGTCTGAGCTTCAAATCTGCATCATGTGTTATCTTTTTATTTGTAATTATTATCATGTATGTATCTCTCTATCATCTATCCATCTGTCTATCATCTATCTAATCTTTATCATCTATCATCTATGAATTGATCTATATCTATAAATTGTCTGAGCTTCAAATGTGCATTTTCTGTTATCTTTTTATTTGTAATTATTTTCATGTATGTATGTATGTATGTATCTATCTATCATCTATCTAATCTTAATCATCTATCATCTGTGAATTGATTTATATTTATATATTGTCTGAACTTCAAATCTGCATTATCTGTTACCTTTTTATTTGTAATTATTATCATGTATGTATGTATATGTAATTATGAATGTATATGTGTATGATTGTATGCATGTATGTATCAATCTTTCCCTTGAAGAACTTCTCAGAGCCTTTAATATTGTACATTGTAAATCTCCAAGAGGGAGTTTTTTGGCAGTCACTGTCTAGAGAAGCCACACCCAGCACTGAGTGAGTATTCTGTTATGTGTGTGGCCTGAGTGAATGGGTAGATGTAATAGATGACTGACTTCAGAAGTGAAAAGTGAGAAAGATGATTTTCCCCCCAGTCCAGTGCAGCCTGGGCTACGGCAATGATTGCATTTTTATCTATAACATTTGGGGCTAGAGAGATGGCTCAGCAGTTAAGAGCACAGGCTGCTCTTTCAAAAGGCCGAAGTTTGGTTCCTAGCACTCATGTTGGGCAGCTCACAACTGCCTAAAACTCCAGCTCCAGGGGGACCTGACATCTCTGGCTTCTCTGAGCTCTTGTACTCACATCGTTGCCCTCCACCCCACCACACAGATATAACATAATTAAAAACATTTTAAAAAGTGTAAACATTTATTATGCTTATGGCTACAGCCAAAAAGGAACCTATTATGTGCCAGGGATGATGCTAGGCTTGCTTCTATTATGTTTTTAGTTGAAATGGGATCAAGAAACATAATTAGCCATTTCAGTGATTGAGGAACTACTTTTTTGGGGCCTCACTCAGTCGAAGTAATTATTACAAAGCAGTTGTGATAGCCTGGCAAAGATGTCATCTAACTTGGTATCATATAGGAAGGACCAAAATCCTGCTGTCCCCCCGCAAGCTCCTTGAATGGTATGTAATTAGTGACAGTGAGAGGCATAATTAGTCACTAGGTGTGTTCAGCTCTTTGACATGTGGCATTTACTGTGGATGTAGATCTTTCGTGTTTCAGGGAACCGTGGTGTCTTGTACGTCATTAGGGGAAAGCAGGCTGCCAGGTTAAACTCTAATTAAATGTTACCATTGTTATTTGAAAAATAACAGCTTGGTGTTGGTGGCAGACTGTATCAGTGGCCGGTATTAGAACATTTAGACATTATAGGCTGTCCAATGCATGCCGCACACTGCCCAGGAAGCCTTCCTTGACTTTGCAATGAAGAGGAGACAAAGAAAATTAATATGGTGAGGATGTAAATGAGGATGTCAGTTAGCACAGGAAGGGATTATGTTGTTTCTGTTTTTCTTTGAACCTCTCTATCAAGGCATGGGGAGCAGGCTGGGCATGTTCCCGAGCCATGGGTTCCAAGTGGAAGTCACGTTCCTGGAGGACAGTGTGATGCTCAATCCATCTTGTCTTCCTATGTGCAACATCCATGGCAAGTTGTCTGTGTAGGAAGGGAAACAGCCTTTCCTAAGTGGGAGAAAAAACTTTGAGTCTGGAGAGGACATCTGCTGGAGGATGCTCTTGTTATATAGGAAAGTGAGCATAATGCAGAGTCTTCCATAAGTGTGACTGTTGGGGAGGCAGCATGATGGGCATTGAGAACCACAGAGGTTTACTGATTATGGACAGGTTAATTGATTATGGACAGATTAACCATGTGATTGGCATTGTGACTGTGGGTGATTACTGCCTTAGAAGCTTTTAGATTTCACAACAGGACCCATAATTGCACTATGAGATAGATGACAGAGTCCACATCTCAAATCCTTAGGTTTCTGTGTGACTTTTGGCAGGTTACTTTACCTCTCTGTTTCTCATATGTTTATCTGTACTTATCTGTAACATGGATCATTAGCCACTCCCTCCCAGGCTTGTCAAAAACTAAAGAAGATGTTACATTAAAGTTTCAACAGAGTGCTCTGTTTATATACCCAGTCCTGAGCAACTTGCTGGCTTCATCTCTTCCACTTCCTTTCGTTTCAGAGTAAATACTAACTTAGGGCCATACTAACTTACATCTGAGATCGGTCATGCTTGTCCTAGACAAAACAGATGCAGCAGGATGAAGGAGTCTTGTTCCTTCTCACCAACCTTGACTTTAAGCCCATCAATTAGACACCATTCTGTGTTGGGAATGTCTCAGGATGTTGGTATTGTCCTGTCTATCAAATTTAAGCCACAAATGAATGTTTCATCATTTGTTCTTTTTTTGCACAGGTTGCATAGACCTGTGGACTATGCAGGTAGCTGGTCCTGATGGGTGTAGTGATGGCCAGTCTCTGGAGTATAGCATGAATCTTAAAGGTTCTTATTAATAAAATCAAGCCTGGTGCCAGGTATTGGGGTGAATGCTGGAAGATCAGAGAACCAGAACAAGCCACAGCTACCTCACCTTGCCAATTCCTCAACGGATCCTGTTTCCTCAGACTGGATGCCTCTGAGTCCTCATCCAGAATGAATCTCAGCTGAACTGCTGCTCAAAGCTTAACCAGCCAAATGCTTCTAGTTGCTGGTCTCCACGCCTTATATATCTGTTTTTGTCATCACTCCCTGAGATTAAAGGCTCACTTCTTTGGATTAAAGGTGTGTGTCACCATTCCTGGCAGTTTCCAATGTGGCCTTGAACTCAGAGATCCAGAAGGATTTCTACCTCTGGAATGCTAGGATTAAAGGTGTGAGTGCCACCATTTTCTAGCCTTTGTATTTAGTGGCTGTTCTGTCTCTCACCCCAGATAAGTTTATTAGGATGCACAATATTTTGGGGAACACAATACCACTGCACTGGAGTCACATTATTTACTGGCCACATGCTTAGGAAAGGTTTATAGATGTTCTCAGCCTCAGTTTTCACATACTTTATGTTTGGAGACTCCTTCTTCATAGGAGTGTTGTGATAATTAAATGAGATAATATCTTAAAATAGAATTGATCTTATATAACACACCCACAAATATATATCAATTTATATATATCTGTACATTAGCCTATTAGTGATGTCATAACAAAACACTCTAGGTTGGATAGTTTATAAACAACAGAGATGTATTTTTTACAGTACTGGAAGCTTATAAATCTGCAGTGGTCATGGTGCCAGAATTTCAGGTTCTCATAAGGGCTGCTCTTTGCTCCAAGTCTGAGCATCTCCATGTGGAAGACAGAGGGGCAGGAAGGGCTCAGGCAGTTCCTCCAACCTTTGATCATGTCACTCATTTATTCATGAGGACCAAATCCCTCCTGAAGGCACCGCCTCTTAGTATTGCAGTGTTGGGATAAATTTGTAGCATGAATTGGCAGAGTCATAAATGTCCAAATCATAGCAATACTTTTTCTCTTTTTGTTTGTTTGAGACAGGGTCCTACAGTGCAGCCCTGTTAAGATTTGGGAGAGTCTTAGAGTTGGGCTACATGCATTTTGCATTTTGACATGATCATGAGACTACAGGGCCCTGGGGTGGAATGTTGTGATTTAAAGTGGACCATTGGGTTTCAAGTTGACCAGAGGTTGACTTAGGATGCTTCATTTTGAGTGGCAACTTGACTGGAGTAAGAAAGGACTGGGACATCGATGAGGTACTGCTCCCTGTGGGTCTATGAGGGTGTTAGACTTCCGAGGCAGCTTAAAGAGACAGGAGGCAGAAAAGAGAGCAGTCAGATGCCAGCAGACAGGACTGCTTATTTCAGACAGCAAGGGGCAGACACAGCAGTAGAGGTGTCTGCTGAACAGGAACCGGGGTACAAACTTGGAATTTGTACAGGGGGTTTGAAGAATGAAGTTCAATGCATCTTCTGAGGCTACGTGCAAGCCTGCAGTTTCTGGAGTTGTTTGTCTGGACGAGGCTGTTTCATCTTTAGAAAATGTCTCCTCCCAGCTCTTAGGATGCTGGTCATAGTGGGCGACTGAGTTTCAACATGGGGGCGGGGCTTTCAGCAAGCCTTAGGGAAGGAAAGTTTCTTGATCAGCATTTGGCAGAGTTTGCTCAAGGTTTATTCCAACAGAGGGCATCTCCAGAGAGGATTAGCTGACTGAGAAGGACCTGTCCCCAGTGTGATCACCCCATGCCACGGGCCAAAGCCCCAGACTGAATACAGAGGAAGAAAGGAGAAAACAAGCTGACCATCAACATGGTCTGCCCAGATGTGAGAAGCTCCTGCTGCACAGCTGGGAGCCGCCACTGCTGCCATGTCTTCCCATCGCAGTGGGCCCACGTCCCTAGAACTGTGAGCCCGTGCAAACATTTCCTCCTTCTTGTCAGACCTTTGCTCATAGTAACAGGAAAAGTGACCGACACACCATGTCACAGGTGTTTGTTAAAATTCAGTGGCAAACAAGGAACTTCTGTGTAAAGGTGAGGGGATAGCTGGCCATCCTTCCAATGTCAAAAGTACACAAGCTGGAAAAACTATTTTCAAAAATAACTTTTTGAAGGTGCCAAGGTCAAGGCAGTAGTGGATTTTGACACTGTCTTATTTCTTGACCCAGGTTGCATCTGTTTAGTGCAAACTGATTGAGTTGTACATTCGGGAAGGTGTCTGTGTGTAGGATATGCTTCGAAAAGAAAATGAGATTGGATGCTGGGATCCTTGATTATAGTATGAGAATCAGGTATGAAAAGACACATATGGCTATTGACTGTCTTTCTGTCTTTTAGGTGTCTGTCCAGTCCTGCCCCCTGCACTTGCAGATCTGTGTCAGATACTTTATATCTTAATTGAACTGAAAGCTCCATTATTTCCTGATGCTTCTGGAAAACACAGCTTTATTCCCCTTGAGAAACGCCATTGGTATGGCAATTTCTTCCCCATTGTTTGTATCAAGTTGGTGGTTTTGATGCAATAGTTACTGCAGCCCTTGTCTCAGAAGTTCCAACAGAGTCAGCTTCATGTGATGGAGATAGAAAGTCTCTACTGTAACGAGAAAATGGCCTGCTAAACTCAGGGCTGAGTTCAAACACACCTTGATCATGACGCCAGTGCAGGAGTGGTGTCCTGGCAGACACTCACTGTTAAGGAGGCTTCTCCACACTCAAGTCAAGGACAGCACCATTTGGCAAAGTAGGAAGAACCCTGAGCGGGTAACACTTTACAGTTTAGGACTGAGTGAAGAAAGGAAAATTTTTAAATAAAGTTTAGCTTTCTTAAATAGAAGATACTGTTGTACTTCACGGCCCTTCAACTGAAGGGTTAAACGGGGAAGAAGTTGTATGTGAACAGGGACCCTGCAGGGACTTTGAACTGAGTGTCTGAAAATGGGGGTGCTTCAGTGCCTCTCAAAAAGGGCCAGACAGCCTAGTCCTTGCCCTCATCCTTTTGGACAACAAGGGGATCCTTCATAATAAGTGAAGTATGGCTCTTTAGAGTATGAGTCTTTCATTTAGGTAAACCTGAGGGTTAGGATTGAAAATTGGCATTGGAAGGGGGAAAACAAGAAGAGCAGGGAGCCCCGGGGTGACCCTCAGTTTTGTCTGCCAGCCGGTCTCACACTCCAACCCAACACGTACTAATGCCCCCAGTCTATAGGTCTTCAGTGGACAGCTTAAGAGTCACAGTTGAGCCAGCTCAGTGACCTACAGTTTTTGTTTCATTTTCTTTTCTTCTTTTTTAATCATCTGCATATTCCTTTTCAACATTGGGTATGTCAGTGCCCCCCCTCTTCATTGGATGGGTAAATAGCTCAGCTACTATCTTTACAGAAATACATCTTATAGTGAGGCAATAAAAAGAAATTGACTCACATGATTGTAGAGACTGAAAGGGCCTAAGATCTGCCATGGGGAAGCTGGAGACCCAGGAGAACCAATGTGAGTTTCAGTCTAAAAGCTGCAGGCTCGAAGCCCAAGCAGAGCTAATGTTTCAGCTCACATCTAACAGCTGGAAGAGACCGGAGAGCCTGTCACAAGTCCTGTCTCTTTCCACTGCTGGGTTCTCTGCAGGGCTTTGTGGGAGCCAGCACTTCAGAGAGGACCATTGGCTTTACTTAGTCTGTGCATTCAGGATATGAGTCTCATCCACCAATGCCATTGCAGACACACCCAGAAGAATGCTTGACCAAATGCCTGGCGTCCCCTGGCTAGGTCAAGCTGACATGTGAAATTCACCAGCCAGTGTAACTCAAGGGAAAGGAGGTCTCTCCTCCAGAGGGCTTCAGCTTCAGCTTTGAAATTGTTTTGTCCTGTTCCTTACACATTTATTCCTTCAACAAATACTTCCTAAGAGACTGCATGCAAGGCACTGTGTTGAGTACTGGGGTTCTATTAACCAAGGAGTTTACTGGGCAGAGCAGCAGCAGCAACTGCAACAATAACAAACCTACACGGCTTATGTAATGCTTTGTACATCTGCTCTCGACAGTGTGCATGAAAGCAGATGTAAGATGGCAGAGGGTTTGTTCTCAATTAAAAAATTAGGAAGTGTCCATTTATAACTTGCCTCACTGTTTGCTTGTAATTTTAGGAGCTCTATCTCCTCTCCTTTTTCCTCTTCCCTTCCTTCCTTCCTTCCTTCCTTCCTTCCTTCCTTCCTTCCTTCCTTCCTTCCTTCCTTCCTTCCTTTCTTTCCTGTTTTACAGACAGGGTTCTCACTATGTATCTCTGGCTAGCCTGGAACTCACTATGTAGACCAAGCTGGCCCGGAGCTCACAGAAATCCACCGGCCTCTACCTCCTGAGTTCTGGGATTAAAGGTGTGTGCTGCCACCACACTGGCTCCTGGATGTCTTAGTTTAGCTTTGTTCTCCCATAACTGCACATAATTGATCATGTAAAGCTCTATGAGTACTCATCTGAAGCGAAAGATCTGTCTCTTCAGCCATATGAATCCAATTATTTTTCTGTTTACCTCAGTCCTATGAGCTGTCTGATATTCATTAGCATTTTTCTTTTAAGTTTTCTTTTATTATAATAGAGTAAGAACAAGTATTCTGCAAATTTACAAAACAATAATAGCTGATTTTTACAATGCTTACTTAATTGTTATGGGAATTTTATTGAGTGCTTATTTAATCATGGGCTGGGAGTGCATTTCTGGACCATACTACAAGGCTGCATTTTGGTCAGTGAGTTATTAGAAAAAGAAGTTGGTGTGGTGGCCAAGCCCACCAATACACAAGGACTGGTGTACAAAGGATATGATTGACTTGTTTCCAAACAGAACTACGGTCACACTGACGAATGGTCTCTTGGTTATACTGATCACATGATATAGAGTCTAACCCAGGCTGCCAGTCAGTACCAGCAAGTTCTACTTGATGTGAAGTGACTGTGCGGGATTTCCTGTGAGTTGGACAGAGCAGGGTTGAGATACCCACTGGCTGCCTCATTTGACTTAACTCTTTGAGCCTCAGTTTTTGTGACTGCAAAATAGGAGTAATAAGAACCTCAATGGGCTACAGCCATCTCTTTGTAAAGAGGATTTTGTGTGAAACTTGGAGCACTGGAGTTATCTAAAAGTACTTGGGTTGCCATTTTTTTTCATTCAAATTTCTTTTAAGAGAATTGTTAAGAGAATTGTTGTAGGTGCTCAGTTATGATATTAATAACCAAATTGAAAAATAAAATTAGTTTTTTTTTAATCACCACTCTAGAGGCAGGGAGAATTAAGGCAAAGAGGCGGGCTGAAGTCTTACGCAATAGCAAACAGAGCATCAAACAACTTATACTCTGAGGGTTAAGAGAAGTCACACGAGCAATGTTCTCATGAGTTCAGGCTGTATACAATCACAAGGACAAACCACACATGGTAAGAACATGTTTTTTTCATAGAGGACATTTTTCATAAAGGACATTTAAACATTTGATTTAACAACAGCAAGCAATAATGAATAACTCGAAGTAAACTCACTCTTATCCACCACACCTGGGAGGAGCATGAAAACTAATTCCAAGAACAATTCTGTGTTTTGAAGAAACTGAGGTCACAAGACTCTTGGCTTTCTTTCTTGGAGTGTTCACAAGCGCTCAGAATCCTCTTCACATGACTCCATTCCTGGCCCATATTCCAACAGTTTTTCATTTGGGAGAAGACTGAAACCGTTTAAGAGTTTACTTTTTGCTTTGTTTTCTGGCTAAGAAATCAGAGAGAGAGAGAGAGAGAGAGAGAGAGAGAGAGAGAGAGAGAGAGAGAGAGAGGGGCCAGGAAACTAAAAAGGGATCCATGAGAGGAGAAAAAAGAGCCCTTAAGGGAGACGATGGAGAGCTTAATAGAACACATGTAATTTGAGTGTGGAAGGGGAAATACTGGGAATGGAAGGGTTTAAGCAGGGATAGGAATATGGAAATAGGAGAGCAGAATGGGTGGGAAGAGAGTCAACCAAAAATACCCCAAGGAAATCTGCTACTTTGTAAGCCAATTAAAGAAATAAAAAAGAAAATAAAGAAATAAGGGTCTGCAGAGAAAATTCAGTGGTTAACAGCACCATTGCTCTTGCAGAAGACCTGGGTTTGGTTCCCAAAGAGTTGCATCAGGCACCTTACGACCATCTGTAACTCCAATTACAGGTGTCAGGCAGCCAATCCAGGTCCAGGGGACATACCCTCTTCTGGCTTCTGTGGTCACCTGCATGTGTGATATATATATATATATATATATATATATATATATATATATATATATATATATATATTTAGGTGTGCACATTCAGAAAATGAATACATCTTTTAAAAAAGAAATGAAATAAAATGAAAAAATAAAGTCATAGGTGAGAAAGGTGGAGAGTCTACACCACCCCTCTGCTTGTGAAAGGGTTTTCTGCTTCAGGGCATGCAGGGGGACCTGCCCCAGGTCTCTGCTCAGGTTAGCTTTTAGTGGGAGCAGCAAGTGGCCTCTTCTGCCTGCTTTTTTCTGTTAGGACTGCTGTCCAAGGAGAGTGGGCTGATGGGAGAATCACTTGTACATAGCTAACTGACGAAGCCTGTGTGAGCCTTTCTAAGTGGACATTAAGAGCCCACCAATCGGCCGGGCGGTGGTGGCGCACGCCTTTAATCCCAGCACTCGGGAGGCAGAGCCAGGCGGATCTCTGTGAGTTTGAGGCCAGCCTGGGCTACCAAGTGAGTTCCAGGAGAGGCGCAAAGCTACACAGAGAAACCCTGTCTCGAAAAACCAAAAAAAAAAAAAAAAAAAAAAAAAAAAAAAAGAGCCCACCAATCTAGTTTCCTCTTCTTGGAGCCATAGAGGAATATACCTCTCAGTTTCCTTGAAGCAAGCAGAGGAATGTGTATGTGTCTGATTCTGCCTACAGTGCTCTGGCTTATGCAATGTCACTTCTGAGCCCAAGCACAGGCTACGAAGACTCCACATCCCCACATGCTTCAACTTTGTCTTGAGAAGTCAGAGTTTTAATGTGAGCATCACCTCTGTCACTGAGTCACATGGATCACGTTCACCCTGGAGAGCTGCCCATATGAACAGTGGTCTCTTCAAGTATGAGAAATAAACTTATCTGGATTAAGGTACTGAAACTTGAGAACCATTGTGACTGACTTTTAACCCAGTTGGTCCTAACTAGTGCAACATTTTAGAGGCGGTTTAAAATGTGCTCTGGAATCTACATGCTATCAGCTATCTTAAGAGTCTACTGAATAGTACAGTCTTAAATGATGGATGATCAAGACTAAAAGTGGAAGAGAAGCATTGCATCTAGACAAGTGACAACAGACATACTATGTAAAGCAGTACCTGATTATTTTTCAGAGTTTTGAAGTAGACTGCAATCTTTCTGCCTTCCAGATTCCCAAATTGTGAGCACTTGCCTATTTCAAAGTGATTGTCCCTGAAGACCGCTGTTTTCAAAATGCCTTGAAGACTGCTCACAGCAAAAACCAGCTAAGTGTGTTGGCCCACCCCACGGCAAGCTGGGAATAAGCACAAGACTCCCTTTCACTTGATGTGAACAAATTTGGGTCAGCTAATACAGGTGGGAGATGAGTTTAGATCAAATCACTGTGCTGGCTCTAGGAACACAGAGATGAATGAGGCTTGCTTCCTGCCCTCGAGGCGCTCCCAGTCTATGGGGAAAGGGCCATACAGACAGAACAAGTTAGCCCTGGGAAGTGCTTCAGGAGAGATATAAAAAGATGGAAGATGCGGAGTCAAGAGGAAGCAGAGATCTGTCCTGATTTGGGGAAACAGGGGGCTGTATAGTACTTGGGTTAGCACTTGAAGGACAACCAAGACCCTGATTTTTCTGTGAGCTCTGAAAAGCAGCCAGTCTCGTTTCTGAAGCATTAGGACTTTTTACTCTGTGCCATAGACAGACACACGAGCTCAGGAGATGTGTGCACTTTGGGCACTTTCAAAGCCCATATAACTAGAGATCTAGGTTAATGGGGAAACAGTCACAATATTGTCACCAAATGCGATGTCTTGTTGATATGTTTTGCTAAATTGCCCTTACGAGTCACCAACCCCTTTTGCTTCCTGCACTATAACAAAATGCACTGCAGAATGAACTCCCCCACAACACTATGTTCTGGGCTCTTGGCAGCCTTCCTGATGTGGCAGTTCTTTCCAGATGTGCCTTTTAACGTGTGGACTTTAGAATCCTGTAATAATGGATGCAAGAGACACAGGAGGCTGAGAGCCAATCTTCTATGTCTACAAAGATCGGTTTCTTAAACTGTGATTCCCTGGAACCATTTTGGAAATATTAGTAGGTGCGCTCTATGCTGAGGCTTAACATTTTTCTTTTTTTTTTTCTTTTTCTATTTATTATCTCTCAGCTGCATACTCACCCTTTCATGAGGGTTCATAAGGAAGTAGAAAGTCTTTCTCCTTTGCAACAAACTCAAAACTTGGACAGTAGAGGGCGCAGGAGGGACATCACAGGAGAAAGGAGCAGCTCACACATGTGACTGCCACACACTCACAGCCCCACAATGCTCTCAACCACAGAGCAGCTCAGCCATCCAGCACATGTACTCTAGGGAGATTTTCTTTTTACGTCGACACAGAGGATTAGGCATTTCAACGACCTTGTGCTATGTGGAGGATCTCAACCCTGCATGCTCTAATGATACCTGAATCCTAGCCTTGAGGAAGAACCCCACTTCCCAGTCTGTCCTTCCTTGGGTACTCGTTTTTGGCTTTAGAGTAATATTTAGCATTCATTTTACATCTTTATACTTACTCTCTTGTGGTTAATAAGCGTTTGTGTCAAACTTTTCCTGTTCAAGTTTCCATACAAATTCTGTCCGTAGGCATTATAAAAATTCTCTTTAGGCTCCTACTAACACAGTCAGGGTACAACAATGACTCAAATACTTACCTTCGAGTCCATTTATATTCTTAAAGACCCCAAAGAGCTTCTATGTAGCTATTTGGTAGGTTGAATTATTTGTTATATAGGAAAGAAAAACTAAGACATTTTAAAGATGTTTAAAAGCGCCGGGCGGTGGTGGCGCACGTCTTTAATCCCAGCACTCGGGAGGCAGAGCCAGGCGGATCTCTGTGAGTTCGAGGCCAGCCTGGGCTACCAAGTGAGTTCCAGGAGAGGCGCAAAGCTACACAGAGAAACCCTGTCTCGAAAAACCAAAAAAAAAAAAAAAAAAAGATGTTTAAAAGCTAATTCCTTAAAGGGGTTAAACCTATTACATGCTAAGCAATATTGAAAGAGACCCCACATTTTCAACACAAAAGGTGTTAGTGAGACAAATAGTTGTGCTCCTTTTTGCAAAAGTCTTTCGTGTCTGATGACAGAAGACAGATAGTTT